CAGTACTCTCCGATGGATTTCTCAGTAGATTCCGATAAATTCTCAAGAGAGCCGAAGACGCGCGAGAGAGGTTTTTTCAATAGCGCACCACTTCGGAGATATATTCGCCCGTCGTCGAAGTCGCGCGCGCGAGTCTCGCGAAATCCCCGGTCGATCGGCCGCTTTGTCTAAAAATCGCAAGCTGCCGGGACTTATTCACGCGTAAGAATGTAATATCGTAATGGGGCAAGCTTTCTCGGGCAAGCCGCGAATCGGGAATCGGTACCCGGGACGAACACGTCAGCGGGTAAAAGGGCTAGAAGGAACGTTTCGTTGAAGCGAGCGAAGATTGTCGGTGGAAAATAATAGGACAATGCGCATCGAACGGACACACAAGCGAATTCGCCGGATTCGACGAATACGGACGATCGGATGGACGGTTAGATGGACGGACAGGTGGACGGACAGATGAATGAACGAGCGGGCGAACAATCAAACGGGTCGTAGACGGATAAATCGGGAAGGAGCAAGATAAACGTCTCTTGTCGCGTGCGAGCGCGAGAGAGCGCGAAAGAGAGACCGGGTACGCCGACATTTCCAAATAAAATGGCTCGCAGCGGAAGAGGACGTTCCTCAATAGCGTTAACCGACCGGTGGCTTTACCGTTACACGACCCAATGAGGAGATACGTTCGCCGCGAAAAACCTGGCCGTTCTTCGCGACCACTCGATAGCGCCTCGTGACCAATAGCACTACGCTGTGTAATAGCGTGCATGTGTGCATGATAGTTCACGAACGGTACTTAACAGACGGATGAGAAGTCCCGCTTCTTCGAGTCCCTCGAGCATCGTGAGGAATCGATCGACCGTTTGTTTCAGCGAACATGCTAAAGACGATTCTCCGGGAAGTTCGTCGGGGATTTGAATACCCGTTATATACGCGGATATCCACCTTCGTCAAGAAGTCGACGGGGTGGTCTTCACATTTCGACCACGTGTCGTTGTTCCCGGCGAGGCTCCCGGTCCTTCGCTGCAGTCGTCATGCTGGATGACGTCAAAAACGGATGTCCGAAATTCCTGCGAAATATTTCGAAACAAAAGGATGCGTTCGTCAAATGACACTTGTGATTGATTCGGCATTCATGTTTGTAAAATATTCGGAAAACTTTCCTTTCGCTTTAACAATCGAGAAATAACCGTAAAATTAACATGACAAGCAATCTTCTCTTTTAATCTATCTACCTTTTCTCGTGCGATTTTGTCACGTTGAAACGTCACAGTCGATGACGAGTTTGATAAACATTAATAATGTAGAGACGATCCTTAAAATGTTACGTAGACATTGACATGATCACGCTACTCTTTTTATATTTTTCGTACATATAGATCTTATATAGATGTAGCGCGGTATAAATATGAGCGTGTCCTACTTTATTTTACCATATCCAACGGAAAATCGAACCAAGATATATAAAAATTTGTCTGCAAAACTTTTTGTACCTTTTTTCACATTCGATACGTACAAACCGCGGGATTTCTATATCACGTAAATATTTACGCTGACAACGGGACTGGAGATGTCACTTGGAAATTTTTCCTCGTTTTCGTCATATATTGAACAACGCTTCAATCTATTTTACCACGTACTTTCATTGAGTAAAAACATTTATAATTCTGCGCAACCAATAAGACGTAAACTTTGCAACAAAAAAAAAACCAGTCTGTCGATAAGGTTTTCAAGTATGGCATTCTCTTAATTTCAGCATTTATTGATTGTTCGAGCAAAAGGAAGGTGTTCGGAGTATTTCACAGGAATGCGCTGAATCGTTCGCAAATATCACTTTGTACACCTTTTTATTTGAACGTACACCCCGCGAGAATTCCTGGCACGGATTTTCTCGCTTTTGACGTCATAAAACAAAATGGCCGCTGCGAGGACACACGGAAGCCTTAATTTCGTGGATGGATACTTGGATTTCTTCTTTTCTAATGCCATTATGTATCATCAGCACATCGGCATAACGTACCGCTTATTCATGGCGGATCTGAAAATTCCGGCTTGAATGGCGAGGTAAGTTAGATGCGTCCCGACAGCGAGACGTGCAGACGAACGCAACTGGTTCATAGGGTTCCCCCATTTGAATATACGAAACCGTGACGAGACGTACGCTGTAACGTATACGTCATGAGCTTCATTGTTGAATGTTATGAGTCTCTATGGAAGCATTCGAATAGACAACATTCTAAGCATCCACCGCCGCTCCGGTGTGCGTTCGTTTCTTCTTTCCTTTTCTTTTCCCGGTGCAATTTCTCATTTTGCTGGTTTCGTAATTGTGATCATGATTTATAAGTGGCGTTTGGTTAACTTTGGTTAACATTAACCAGTGTCGGGAAAGAACCAATCATAAATATTGCGACATTCGTGGTCACGACAGTGCGGAACTATTAGTTTTCAACGTCACCGCGCTGTGATATTCGATTTTCGCGATGATTTGTGTCGACATTCGATGTTTCGTTACGATAGTGAAATACCACGACGCTGCGCCGTGCCAAAATCGATCTTTATAATAACGGAGCTCTATGGAGATGACCCACGAGAATCATGTTAGACCTTCTCTCTCTCTCTCTCTCTCTCTCTCTCTCTCTCTCTCTCTCTCTCTCTCTCTCTCTTGTGTGTTATAACATGTAAAATGTAGGAACATGTCAAAAATATATTACGCATCATGCGTATGCGAAATATATTACGGAATCGTCGAGCAATTAAAAATGATGTCTTTGCAAGACGCGCAGAGAATCGAAGCTCGTTAGAAGAATGGCCCAATTTGATTTGAGCTTAAATGGCCCGGGAACATATCGAGAAACGTTTAATGAAACGATCCGCCGGTTTGAAATAATAATTATAACTGAAATCGGTGCAAATTATTTTTGGCGAAGTACTTTTTAATTTCACGTCAGTATTTCCATCCCTGATCACGAAATTACAGTTTTTAATTAAAACTAAATTTTTCTATGTATATCTCTTGATTTACATGAAAAATTATATAAAATTTCACGTAATTTATATCCACTGAACGAACGTTGCAGAATACGATGGTGATGGGCAGGAATGACATGTTGTTTGTAACGTTCGTTTCGCGCGACACAAAAATAGCGTTAGAACGTGAAGTATCTTTTTTTTGCTTTAGAGATTCCTTTTTAACGACATTAAGATCCAATTTTAATTCGCGCGCGCTTGCGCTCGCGAAGCACGTATATTGCTTTAAGATAAAGCGGCAGATGTACAACACGAACGTCTGTATCTTGAAATACACGCTTGTAAAGGGAATTGCTTTCTTCTCGATTACCGCTTTCGAAGTATAGCATTTACGATTTTTTATTGTAAATTCTGCACACGAAACGCATATGAATATATGGATACTCATGCTCGAATTATTTTCATTCAATGAACTTGTTCATATCGGATATTTTTTATAGGGAAAGCGCTTCAATGTACATTTAAAAAAAATGTAGATAGGAGCTTGTATGTTTGGTTAGTTCATCAAGTTAAAAATAACAATTATATCTCTCCGTAAATCTATACAGAATGTTCTTTAAATACTCAGCTATACTTAAGGGAGCGATTTTTTGGTTTAATTCAAATAAAAATGTTCACACAAACATATGTCCTAAACAGTTTAATTTCCAAAATAGAGTGTTGAAATTTGCAGGAAATGTAAATGTCGGATGGCTTTAGAATATTTCATTGAAACTTAATGTAAGCTTCTAATACACACACACATTAGGGATGATATTTCAAAAATATAATAGCTAAAATAATCCAAGATTAAAAATTAAACAATTAAATAAATTGTTGAAAATGACCATCTTCCGCCATGATACATCCTTCGATCCTCCTTCTCAAATATTGACGTATAGCTGAGTACTTAAAGAACACAATAGAACACAGTTTTGTATAACTAGACATGAAAGGTGATCGCACACCACCATAATGAGACCAAGTTTTAATACGATTTATTTACTCGAATTATATAATTGTCTCGAGTCGCTCCGTCTCTTTCTTGAAAATTAATTGTTTATAGCTTAAAACCAGTGTCGGTTGTGGCACTTTAATTGGACAGTTTACGGCGACGACGACGACGATGAGAGCAAGGATAAGCTATTCTCCGCGGGACGTCGTCCTGGATTCTCCTGTTTCTAACGGCACTACGCTACTTCCGCGTAAAGACAGGAATTCACGCTAGAGCGAGTGCGGGTGCGCACGCGGGCGGCGACGAACATTTTCGCGTGTTCATTATTTCGTAAATGCGAGATGCACGAAGCGCGAAAGTCCGACGCCTTTCGCGTCGCTAAATGCCGGCGTATTATTTCTCACTTGCGTTAATCATGCCAGGAACGCGCGTTCTCGCGCTCGTCGACAATCGGCATTGTCAACTGCTGCGAGACGGTACCGGCAGCTTGGCGTTAATTGTGCAGAAGGCAGACGGAGACCCGGCGCGGAGTCGGTGAACCTAAAACTAGGTTGACTCCCGACAGGTAATTTGTATCGCATTATCGCCCTCGCCCACGCAGCTCACCTCGCCGACGCACTGTGCGCCGTGAATTTATTTCTGGCTTAATGGAAAACGCGTGTACGCGAGCAAAAAGTATACGGACGAAAGAGAGAGAGAGAGAGAGAGAGAGAGAGAGAAGCCGATCGATTCTTAGCCATCGAGCGTTTCCCTCGCGGTCGATTTCCTCGTAGGGTCATCGGGTTATCGGGTCACCGTGACCGCGTTCGATCGCGCGATGTCACTGACTATGGTCACTCGATGCGGCCCGAGGGGAAAATAATAAGGCACACGGAAGCGTAACATGGATATTAAAGCGCTGAAGATACGCCATCGCTGCTTGCGGCCGGTTATCTCTTCCCTCGCGATTGTCGTCGGCCGTCTTTTCCAGCCGACGTGTCATTTACAACCGCCGATAATAACCGCGTTATCGTGAGCGATTGTGGCTTTAACGAGCTCGTTCATTCTGTTTCAGCCCCCGTGAGAGCCGCAGCCGAGCCGTCCGAGGAATTCCAGAACATAGACACGCACGAGGGCTCGAAGCTGCAGCTGCAGTGCCGGTTCCCGTCGCCGCGGCAGAACGTCACGTGCTATTGGCTCGTCCGCACGTCGAACAACGTGGACAACGCGGCGATCGACGACAAGTCGTTGTCGCCGACGAACTACAAGGTGTTCATGAACCTGGCGCAGGGCCGTTACGACCTGCAGATCAAGAACGTGTCGTACGAGAGCAACAACGGCAGATACGAGTGCCGGGTGAAGGCAATCTCCGGCGACGACCTGTACCGGAAGTTCATAATACTGACGGTGCTGCGGGTGCCGGGCCCGCCGACGATACGGCTCTCCCGGAACCGCGTCGTCGAGGGCAAGGAGCTCGTGCTGACGTGCAACACCACCGGCGGCAGCCCGGAGCCGGAGGTGTGGTGGTACCGCGGCAACAACAACACCTTCTTGAGCAAAGGCATGGAGCTGAAGATGCTGCCGACGCAGGAGGACGACGGTACGACCTTCCGTTGCGTGGTGAGGAACCGGGCGATGCGCGAGGGTGAGACGTTGGACGCGTCGGTGACCCTCGACGTCGAGTACTTCCCCCGCGTCACCGTCGGCCCGGAGAATCCGATGAAGGTCGAGGTGAACGGCACCGCGAACATCGTGTGCCACGTGGACTCGAAGCCGGCGGTGCAGGAGGTGCGTTGGACACGGGACGGCACGTTCATCGACACCAACTTCCAGTACATGATATCCAAGGTCACGCTGCAGGACGCCGGCCGGTACACGTGCCAGGCGAACAACAACCTCGAAAAGGTCGGCGAATCGTCCTTGTTGCTGGACGTGCTCTACCCGCCCACGGTATCGATCGAAGGCGACCCCGTCAGAGTGACCGACGTCGAGGACAGCGTGACCGTTCACTGCAACGTGTCCGCCAATCCTCAGCCGTCGGTGGTCGAGTGGCTGCGCGACGGCCGGCCGGAGTTCCGACAATCGGGCCTGATCCTGCGACTGAGCCGAGTCACGGCGGATCACACCGGCAATTACACGTGCCGCGCCGTCAACACGATCCACCCGAGCGGCGGGGAGCGCAGGAATCACTCGGCCTCCGCCACCGTGACCGTGAGGGTGCGACACAAACCCGGCCCGGCCAGGGTGACGCCGGACTCGCCGGTCGCCGTCGAAGGCTCGCGGGTTACTCTCACGTGCATGGCCAACCCGGCCGGCTATCCGGAGCCGCAGTACACGTGGTGGAAGGAAGGCGAGGGCGGCGCAAGCACGCCGGTACCTTCCGGATCGAGGTACGAGATCGACTCGGTGCATCTCGGCAGTGAGGGCACCTACAAGTGCTACGCCATCAACGAGATCGGTATCGGCGAGGCAGCCTCGGTGAATCTCACCGTTCACCAACCGCCAAAGATACTCACCAAGCTGCAGCCCCACATCACGAGGAAGTGAGTACATGAGAAATATTCTTCGGTTCTCCTGCGACTGAACAGCGGCCAGACGAAGACTCGATGACGAGGAATGATGTTTCCGTTATCGCGACTGCACGAACGTTCGTTTTGCAGCTGCGTTGCAAAACTCGGTTGAGACAACTGAGAGCGATTGACTGAATAGAAACCCCCTACGGCAATCTTTCTGTCGTCACAACCGTATTTTCGTCCCCAGGCAACGGAAAATTCAGTTACATCGACGGAATTGTTTTTTTCGTGTTGGGGAATCGCTTTACTCACGAGTGTCTAGAAGGAAGAGACCGTGCCGTGAAACTTCGCCGATTTCGGTCGTTGCGTTCGCTGGAATTTCCACTTAAGGCTCTCCTGGTCTCTCGCTGCAGTCGTCTTGCTTGATGACGTCAGAAGCGAGAAAACGCATACCCAAAATTCTCGCGAAGTACGGTGAGGCAAAGGGATGTGTCCATCAAACGACACTTGCGGTCCATTGTGTGTGTGTGCGCGCGCGCGTACGTTTGGAAAATATTTCGGAAACTTTCCTTTTGTTCTAACAGTCAATAAATAATCGTGAAATTAACATAACACGTAACCTTCCTTTTTAACTTATCCTTTCTCTCGATTTTGTTCACGTTACGGCTATTTATTGATTGTTCAAATAAAAGAAAAGTTTGCGGAAGACTTTACGAATGCGCTCAATCGATCACAAGTATTGTTCTGCATTGAAAAAAAAAATTTTACCGTTCAAATAATATTGGATCCAAATAAAATGATAAAATGGATAGTCCACGTTATCGATGCTTGTCAATTGTTCGTTAATGCCTGTAGCATCCCTCAATATTATTATTATTGTTCTTATTAAATTACTTTATGAGAGATAATAATGATTATTCCTCAATTATTATTCCCGCCGAAGCGTCGCGACTTTTACCGTCGAATAAAGTGTCTCCGTCGACTAGAATAAGATTTATCTTCGGCGGGTAAGCTCCTAATAATGTTACGTCTTCCCGCTTTATCGCAGAGTCGGCGAGTCGTCGTTCCAGGTATCCTGCGTAGCGCAGGGCAAACCACGGCCTAGCGTGCGCTGGCTGAAGGACGATCAAGAATTAACGGCCGACGAGAGGCTCTACAAAGTAACTACGTCGTTGTCGGAGGGCCACGGTAACGTAATAACCGTAAATTCCACGCTGAGCTTTTTGGGTCACGCTCGTCCGCAGACCGACGAGATCGTGGCGGGCGATCGCGGCAAGTACACCTGTGTCTTCGTGAACGAGGTGAAGAAAGTCGAATCCACGATGATGCTCAAGGTGGAGCACGAGCCGATAATACTCCACGAACACGGCAAAGTGGCGTACAACCTCCGCGAGACCGCCGAGGTGGTCTGCAAGGTCCAGGCGTGGCCGAAGCCCGAGTTCCAATGGAGCTACGGTAACAACGCAGCGACGCTTCAGGGCTCCTCCAGCGACAGCCACTACGAGATCATCACCACCAACGACAACTACGACGTGTACATGTCCCTGCTCAAGATCAACAATATCCGCGAGGCCGATTACGGCGACTACAACTGCCGCGTGGTGAACGCTCAAGGTAGCGTCACCTCCCACATCAGACTGCAGCCGAAGGGCGCGCCAGAGAGACCAACCAACATCACTGCCATGGACATTGGACCCACACATGTCGCCTTATTGTGGCAATTGGGCTTCGACGGTGGCCTACCCATCACCAAGTACTTCGTCTCTTACAGAAGAGTCGCGGCCGCCGACGAGGTGGTCGCGCCGGACTGCGCGCCACCGCGCGGACCGGCCGGCCAATGGCTCGAGCTCGATTGTCACCGATCGAATCCATGCAACGTGACCAATCTCGAGCAACATCAAACCTACACCTTCAAGGTGAAGGTCTACAACACGAAGAATCACTCGGACTATTCCGAGGAGGTGACCGCCACCACTGCGGTCGCCAAGATACCCGCGCCGTTGAGGGTGAGCTACGACCCCGAGAGCAGCACCCTCGCCATCAACGTGGGCCCCACGTGCTTGGCCTTGGTGGCGTCCATCGAGAAATTCGACGGAGGCGCGGACACCGCCTGGCGAATCGTCGACGAGTGGCCTCTCGAGGTCCTCGGGAGCGCGCCGACTCAGAGGGAGGGAATATTGGACGATCCTGAAGCGCCCGACACCGAGCCCCGGCTCAGAGTCAGGCTGTGTCTCAAGGCCGACCGGCAGAAGTGCGGCGATTACACGGAAGCCGAGAGTAAGTTCGACGCCGCGGCGCTTTTTGCTCCTTTCGTCACGAAGTGAGGTCGCTTATATTCCCGGCCGTGGTAACACCGCGCGAACGACTCGTGAATCATTCGCGAGATTTTCTAACGTGACTTGTATTATATAATAACGGAAAATCTCTTAACAATCGAAGAAGTGACTCCAGGCAGTGAACTATTTAAACCGATGGTCGTTTCTGCTTCGCAAACGGACACCTCTTTCATAGCTTACGAATGACGCGAAATTTCATAATAATTCATTAATAAGCTGTAATTCAAAAGCAGCGATGTCAATCTAGCGAACGTCTTTGCCGGATAAAATTAATTTGACTATTATAATTTTACTTCAATTCTATATCTTAAAATAATGACAGATGTTAAATATATGAAGTTAGAAGTGAAATATGTCGTAGCGACTATGTTTCTATCAGGAAATATCTGTATAGGAAATATTACAAATATATTCATGTTATCCGAGAATAATTTTCATGAATTGAGAGGAGAATAAGTGAATTAGACTTCGTCCCAATTAGTAACAAAGTAACCTCATCGTGAAAATAAATTAATAAATTATAATAATAATACACGTGTTATATATAACCTTTATAAACGGGGAAGCTCTATAGTGGCGCGGCAACAATTTTGTTAAATATAACAACAATTCTTATTAAATATTCGACTTATTATTGGCATAAAATAGTAAAAATAATGTAAGTGTTGCGACTTCGTAAGTAAGAAGCTTAAAAAATTTAAAAAATGCACAAATATACTTATTTCGTACAAATATATGTACAAATGAAGCATATTTTGCAATTCACGTGAATATATGATATATTTATGCAAACAATAGACATTTTATTTTGTATTTTGACGTTTTCTTGTCACCATATATAGGATATTTGTCAGTGAGCCAATATACTATATATTTTATTCGAAATTTGTTATAACAAATAATATATGAAATTTAGAGTAGAGACACATTTTTTTCGAATAAATGTGGAACTTTATTATTGGATTTATTAAGAAGGACGCATGCGACTGATGTCACTAACTGGAACATTCACTTTATTGAGAATAGAAAATACGATATCGCCAAATTAAGAATAGTATCAGTTTGAAAATATCGTTCTTTCTGTCCGATATTTTTTCTCATAATTCATGCAAATTTGTCCTCGATAATAAGAACATGATATTTTTAGCGGAACTATATAGAATTTCTTCACGTGTGTGTGAAATCAAGTTTTATCTTCATATAAGATTACATATTCTTGCTTATATGTGAAAGAATATGAGTCTTGAATTGATATAATTTTTTTTTCCGTGCACTTTTGCGAGTTCAACGTCCTCAATTTCTCTTCGCAGTTGGGCCGTCGTATATCGCGCAATCCGGCGCTCTCACGATGCCGACTTTAATCGCGCTGATAGTAAGCGGAGCGGTGTTCCTGCTGTTCGCGGCTCTGCTACTGCTGTTCTGCCGATGCCGGCGGAAGCACGCGACGAAAGCGAAGGATTACGAGATGGACTCGAACACGTGAGTGAATCTACCGCTGTCGCACGCTACGAAATTACATATCATACCGCACATTACGCGATCGGGCGACACGTTGCCTCGCGTCGTGTCGTTCGAACTCCAATTGGCACCGTTGAAACGCCTCGTTTGCTTTGGGCAGCGTCCGACCGAGCCTCGTGGCGGGTAACGGTCAACAAACTCAGCCACCACCGCCGTACTACGCCGAGAACAAGGCTTTGGAGCACAGCTTGGATCACGCCTTGGCCATGGAGGACTCGAAGACTCCCGCCTACTCACAGCCGGGATACGGCTATCACCAGCCGAATCACAACATCAACGGTAAATAAACTCGCCGAGGCGAAATCGCCGCGCGTGAACGCTGCGCGTGAAAGGAAAGAATCAATGCGCACGAATCTCGTTGGTATTGTCCGCGTTGCAGGCGTGAACATGGGCTACATGGACAACAGTTACTCGAACTCGAACAACGGCGGTTCCGTCAACTCGCAGGACTCCATATGGCAAATGAAATCGGCGGCGGCGAACGGCGTGAGCCAGCCGTACGATCTCACCGGCTACGGCACGACGGAGTCCGATTACCCCACGCACCCTCATTATCTGCCGCAGCGGGAGGATTACAGGGAGAGCCATAATCTGAGCCGGCAGCAGTTCTGCACGGAGCCCTTCGCCACCGTCGTCAAGTCTCAGAAACACGTTGGTCAGTATTACCCTTACGATCGTTTCACGTGACTCCTCCCGTCCTCCGGAGCAGAGCTGGCCTTCTAATGACAGTCCCTATATTACCGCCGCCGTGCGTGCCAGTCTCTCCGCTGCAGCGTTATAGATTATATCGCACGGTTACATCGATCTTCCGCGCGACCACCACCGCGTGCCGCTCCCGCCGATACACCTCCTTTCTCTCTACCCTTGGAGGCTCGTTTCCCCGGAAAACATCCCCCTGCCACCCTTCTATTGTTCCTTCCCGGCCAACTGCGAGAGAGTCCCGCTCGGATTAGCCGCTCGTGCCGACGTTTCCGCGCCTCTCGCGTCTCCCTCTCGGTTTTTGCCGATTCCACATCCCCTCGACACTTTGTTCTTCCATCTAGCTTTATAATTTCCCAGCGATTTATCTCCCGTTCCCTGCTGGAACATAACAATTCCCCTGGCTCTCTCTCGCTCTTCCGAGCCACTCCCGCTCGGCATTATCATACTAATCGTCCGCTGTGTGTTCGACAGACTCGCCTTACGACGTGTCCGGCTTGCCGTATCAGGAAAATTACGACGAGGACACTAAGCCGCCGCAACAGGTAAGCCTGTCGTACGACGAGAGCCTCGAGTCGGGCTACTCCACGCCCAACAGCCGCGGCCGTAGAATCATCAGGGAGATAATCGTTTGAGATCTGCCTACCGGCTCACGAGCCGGAAACACGCGCACTACTTGGCTATAGCAGCAGGCCCCCGTTTGTCATACGTTGACGCCGCAGCATCGCCAACACCATTATCATCGCCATCGGCATCACCATCGTATGGAGATCGTCCTCGAGAACCTCTCCGTCGCGCCGCTCCAGACGCGGACGCCCACGTCGCCGTCGGCTGCGATCTCGCAACTGGGTCTTCCTATGCATCCGCCGCCGCCGCCACCCCCGCTGCTCTCGTCGCACCACTTCGCGCAACGCAAGATGCTCTACGACGTCGACGCGCCGTTGTTACCCGCGGACGATTATTACGCTCGCCACGAGCTGACGTACGACCGCGACCTGGACGGCGCGCCGGAGCCGATGACGGTTCGGCGAGTCGGCAAGTCCGGCCTGCTGGAGATCGCCGAGACCGAGGCGGCGGCGATGTGCCAGCGTCCTCGCGCGTCCTTCGTCGGCGCGGAGGACGTCGCCGCGCGCACCGTCGTGTCCCTGCGACTCGATCGCGCGGGACTCCTCGAGGCGGTCCCGGAGGCCGTCGACCAGCTGGAGGAGGAGGGCAACGCCGGCGTCTCGGAGGAGCATGACGCGGTGGCCGCGATGACGAGTGCATTCGACGTCGGGAAGAGCGAGCAGGCGACGCCGCGAGGCGAAGGTTTCCAAGTGGACGCCGACGCGAATCCTCGGAATGTGTTCGACGGAGCGTGTCGTCCGCTGTCACAGCCGTCGTCGTCCTCGGAAGGGCCAGCGGATGAGATCGTGAGAGGCCACCCCGTGGAGCTCCAGGTGCCCGGCGGCAGTCCGCGGACGCAGTTCGACGGTTCCGCGAAAGCCACGGAGAGGCTACCGCATCTGTCGTCCTTCTCGCCCGGACCCTCTCTGCGCCGTCCTCGGAACGATTCCTCCAGGGGACCGTCCTTGTTACCGAGCCGTTGCGCGGACACGGACTCGTTCGCCGTCCGGCTGCGGAGGTCCCCGGAATTCACCGCCAAGTACACCCCCGCCAACCCCACCGCCATGAACCTGCTCGACGCGCTAACGTCGTCGTCGTCGTTGAGCACGACGACCGGGAGCCCGATTATGCGAGGACAACCGCAGGCGAGGCGCTCGAAGGAGATCCTGGAGCATCCGGCGGCGCCGCTCGACTCGCCGGTCGATGTGATGACCGGCCCAATTAAGGCGTCTCGCGACTCGCTGCTCGCGAAAGGAAGCACGGAACAAGAAGACGACGACGACGAGGACGCTCTGCCGGGGGAGGAAAGGGCCGAGGCGGAAGGATGCGAGCACACGGCAGTCGAGGGTCTCGAGGAGGACGAGGTATCGTTCAAAGGGTCCAACAAACTTCTCGACAACGACAATGTCCAGACGCTCAGAGTGATCATTCTGTCGGAACAGTTGTGAAAGTACCACCACCACCACCACTACCACCACGACCACCACCATCCGAGTGTAATGATTCCAGGCAGTGATATCAAAGTGTGTGTGTTTTGCGTGCCTGTGTGTGCGCGTGCCGGTGAATGAACGAATATCCATCGATGATACGGTCTCTCCCGAGCGGGAGGGAGAGGTTACCAGCGAGAACGATGGATGCCTTGCGCGAGATATCGCTCTCTCTCGTGCCCATTTCACTCGTCCCCCCTCGCTAACATTTAACGGAGAAGGACCGGGCGGTCTTTCTCTCTCCTTTTTCTTTTGCCCCATTTCATGTTAGGAACTATCGTGTAAAAACGTATACGTTTAGCGAGTCGAGACGACTCACGTCGATTGTTATTTCAAAGAGAATCCTCGAGAAGATTAGATTCCCCCAGCTAGCGTATAATGTTTCAAAAATATAGATACTAAACGTTTCGTAAATATTTAAATGTCCGGGAAAATCAGGTATGAGAAAGATTATGATAAATATTCAAAAATATTTATGGAGCATATTTTTCACATAATGAAAGCATGATTTCACTTAAGTAAAACCGTGTTTTAATTATTTGCGAAAAATATTTATCATAAATATTTATCATGAATATTTTTGAATATTTATCATAAATCTTCCTCATGACCTGACTTTCCTGGACATTCGGGTATTTATAAGATATTTAATATCTATATTTTTAAATATGTGTTAAAACATTTTATAAATAATGCACGCACCATCTGGGACCGCAACGAATGAATCTCATTGCTCGGATCTGTCTAATTTTACGCCGCTTCAAGACTGATCAAATATTGTTATTATTACCGCCTTGAATCCGGCAATCGATATTTAATACCGTCGCTTTTTTGAGACGACCAACTGCCACGTCGGATTTAACGCGTTAACGATTGTTATATATAATTACTCAGCCTTGACGTAGCTCGCGCGACAAAATTTTCTGCGTGCTCTCACGTATGACGTGTGATATACGCCGTTGAACCTCACCGACGAGTGACGCCGCTAATTTAATCTCATTTACTTGTGTTTCACATGCATAATCACATTCCCTTCCATTGAGCGGGAGACACGCGCTCGATACACTTCTCACACACTCTCTCTCTCTCTCTCTCTCTCTCGTGAGACCCGTATCCGCAAGCGTTGTCATTGTACCGAAGTACAGTGTTAATGCACCAGGGACATTTCAATTTCCGGCGGCTCACGCAAGAAAGGATGCTGTACGTTTCGAGTAGGCGGGAGGTTGTTTCAGGAAAGTCGGTGAAGTCTCTCGCGAGTCAATGGCGCGCGCGGCGTGTCCGAGTCGTCCGATCGCGTCCAACGACGACGACGACTCCAGATATACGACGACTCCAGATTGGATGCATTTTATACTTTTATATACACGACATTGTGTGTGTGTGTGTGGGCGACGCCGTCTCTTCGTATGACCAGCGTGCGATCGGCGATTTCCCGCGTGAGGTCGCGCGATCGGAGATATTGCGTGCACTCGTTTGTTTAACGGCTCGTACGCGTTCTTTTTTTTTTCCCCGATCAAGCCGGCTGCACATCAAACGGTCATCATCGCGAGCCACGGCTCACGAACCTACGCGGTTATCGGTCGTGACAGCAGTCGAATGACAACAGACGGTGTAAATAGTGGCCCTTTGTTATACTCTTACCCGATAGAGATAAAAGTATGAAAAAATACTGACATTTCTCCCGAATCCTCCGTTACAGTTGTGACGTCTCGTACGCTGTCACCCCGGCTCTTGTCGAAGTCGATTACCGCGCGAGAGTTCATGACTAGCTACTCGCAATCATCGTGACTAAAGTATCTAGTAATAAGAGTAGGAATACCACATATTTCATTTCTGATTGACTCCGTCATGTTTGGGCTAGCTTCCGTTTGGGATGTGTCAAAGGTTGCTTTCCAGCAAGAGACGAAAATCGACATAATCCAGTAAACACTAATTAACGATAACATAACATCAATATTCCATTCAACAATATAACTATTACGTAACATGCGAGTTATGTTGCATTTATATTGTTGAGTAAATTATAACATTGATGTTGTGTCACTGCTAGTTGGTGTTTGCTGTATTAACTAGACTTGCGTCGATTTGCATCTCTTGCTGGAAATCGACTAGTTATCAGCTGAGTGACAACGTAGGCAGAGATTCGCCGTGTCTACGAAGTCTACGAAGCGTGTTAAAAGAAAAACGAGCTTGTGAGTTTCATACTGTAATTAATACTGTAAATTAATTATTAATTTTGTTTATACTATTTTATATCTTATATTTATAATTTTGCTTTATACTATTTTAATGATATCGAAACATTCACGTATTAGGGCTGTGAACTTCCGGTTCTAACCCATAAATATGACGGCTAAAATACGACGGTGTCCATACTTTTATTATCGAGATACTCGAGTCGTGGCCGATTGATGCTCTCCTAACCAGATCGGGGAAATCGGGCGCGAACCGTTCCGCGAACGAGTGTACATGTATATCGGCCGGGGGCGATTAACGCCGTCGGTTTTGTAAGTATGTGTATTAGATAGTAGGTAGCATTTATAAATAAGAAATGTATTCTCCGTCGCGGGGAATGAACGAGCACGATCGGCGCGAGGCTTGTCGCGAGTGCCGTCGAGGTCGGACACGGCGAGACGGTGATCTCGACGTTTCCGCCTCGCGACAGAACCAGGACGACGCGGAGGTGGCCGAGAGGTGGCCGAGGAACGATCGGGTTATCCCCGTAGACGCTTCCCATAGGCGCACCACTCGGACTCCTTTCGTTGTCCCGGGAGACGACGGAACGCGTTCGTAGTGCAATTGTAAATAATCGCGGAGTAAATCGCTCCGTTGAAGTACTTAACGACATGTAAGCGTGCGCGTGATGTTAGGACGCGATGACGACGTTTTTTTTCTCTCGAGCATTCGTGGTCGCCGTTCCGCAGTCACGGGGAATGGCGCAGCGACGGGAATGCGTTGGAGTGGCGGATGCGCACTTGGAAAACACAACGGTCGCTCGATGAGTTTTCCGAACAACGACGACAACAACGCCACCCGGACGCGAGCAACGATCGTTCCGCCTTTCCCCGTTCACGATTTCGGACGGTCCGCCCACCGATGCTCCGCCGAATCAAAAGGAAAACGTCAGCGACAACGAACTTCGCTGTTTTAGCCCGCGATACTTCGAACTAACGATAGAGATAACCCTCTAAATGTATAGAAAGCCTTTTGCGTTGGACGCGAGTCCCGCGCGTCACTCCGTTTTTGTACTTGTGTACGCGACGTGTACAGATTATTGTACGCGGCGTCCTTTTGTTGAATTTTACTCCCATTTACTCTTTCCCACTCCCCTCTTTTATTTTTTTTCTTCTTTTTTTTCTCTCTACTTTCGTCCCGTCGATCGAACGCCGCCGGAGTGCTGTTTTTCCGCCCACAACGGACGCGAAAATATTACAACGGAGCGCAGGAGACGCAATTGGCGCTAATAAAGTTATCTCGTTCACTAGGCTTACTGCATTTGTATTTATTACTATAATTATTATTATTAGTATTAATATTATTAATATGATGATTATTATTATTATTATTAATATGAATATTATTGTTATTTCACATCATACGATACTGCGACAGTTGCACTTTCCGTTGTACCAAAAGTCTCTCGTCGAAACGACGAGATTCATCATCATCTCTCTCTCTCTCTTTCTCTCTTTATCTCGGTCGGAAATTCGCCGTTCCGCGTCAGTATTTTCGCGTCCGCTCGCGCGGCGGCAAACGCGGCGCCCGGCCGCGCGTTCGCTCGCACGTCGTTTGTGATCTCATTTGCTCGTAATGTAATCTCGGAGAGACATCGCGAGTCGGCGATCGCATCTCGCGAGTTCCGCGCGTGCGAATCGTCGTACGTACGCCGCGATTGCGGCTCTCCGTGTGGCCATTAGTCTCGTGTATCACGACGTGTAGGCGCAATTAGGAACACAAATACTTTTAAGTATATCCACCGAACGATGTCGTGCCGCACGTACAACGCGATCGTAACGAGTCTTGTTGGACGTATAATCTTCTTCTTCGCTGATTACTTCGCTACTTGAAGCACGGTCGGACTTACCGAGTGTGACAGTGGTCGAACTGTTAATCCCTGAACCCCCTCCCCCACCTAAGGCAACGTTCCTTCTTTCCCATTGTTACACGATTATAATTGCGATCGCGGGTTGTGGAATGCTTTGTGTTAGAAAAAAGAAATATTTTATCGACCGTTCAATCTTGTATCAAAGCGCGTTTTATTGATGACGTGTTCAATCTCTCTTTCTCTCTCTCTCTCTCTCTCCTTCCCGTGCTCCATTTTTTACCGTCGCTTTTCTACTCCCTTTTCGCCTTGATTCTTTTGGTTCGATTGAGTTTTATTCTTTCCTTTATCGCCGGACTCGCATGTAGAGGTGTCATTTTCGCTCCCTCTTGCTGTATTCAATTTTCAATCGGTGACATGAATGCGCCCTTCGGCATGAGACTGTTCACCGATACCGATGTATGAAAAACCGATGAGAATCTCCTACTTCCATGTCTTTCAAAGAGCGAAAGTTGAGCGTGACTGACGCTAGACGTGACGCGTGTGCGGCGTTTAGAAGCTGCACGAATTCTAGCCGGGATATGTAACGAGGAGAGAAGCGGGCTGCGAAATACGGCGAGAAAAAAAGAAGAAAAAGAAAACAAACGAGCGAAGCGGAAACGGACGAACGGAAAGAGAAGGCGGGAAAAGTAGTCGACATATTTTTGGACAACGAAATTATAGCGGTTACGTGTGTACGTTAATAAATGCGTGTATGTAGGGTTAATAAATTCGGAACGCGCCAACAAGACCGTGCTCGATCGATTTTCGCTACCTTACGCGCGAAGTGAGCGAGATTTACTTGCTAAACTTATGTACATATGCATAGCGAGGCGAGACAGAGGATGAACAAAGGAGAGAAAGAGGATTGCATAACGGTTCGCACACATTCTTTTCGTGCAAGCCAAAAACGCAACAATTGATCATAATTGTAAGCCACTGATCGCGGACTTGCGAATGGTAATCGGTTAAGAGAAAAATCGAATAACGATGCACGATGTAAAGAGTAACCTTTTATTATACTCTCTTTTACCTGGTATAAAAAATATAATAAAGATTTAGAGGAGAAGATATTATGGCCCTTGTGGGTAGGTATTATATATTTCCACTATTTAGTGGCGAATTTTAGTGAATACCTATGGAACCATTTATTTAATAATCCGCCGTTATATAGCGGCTCTAACTTGTCAATAGCCGGCATTTGTTACAACGCATTTTTACTTTGGAGCATTTCGATACGTTTTCAATACGTATATTTTAGCATTTAATTATACATGTTTCCTGATTCTTCTTAAACTTGAGCGTATTATCACACGAATATATGTACATTTGAATATTTTGTTTGTTATTTATCATTTCATTCGACATGTACACATTTCGAGTTATGCAAAGTTAAGCAATACTATCGTATTTTGCTAATGTGGCCTCCTAAGAGTGCTGATAATACGACCTCCATTTCGAAAGTTTTTCATATTGTTTTTTCATATCGAAATAGCTTTTCGACAAGTCGATTCTAATCTATAGTTCACTGCTGCATTTCTATTTGCACCGCACTGCTGTTCCCCCTTCTGACAGATTATATCTTCTCACGAGTAAGTCAATATCCACATTAAAAATTCACGGTTATATTCATTGTTATTCCTTCTATGAATTTATTTCGAATATATAATTTTATAATAAAACGCAGTGTTATTTTAAAGACCAATTTTTTAAACCTATTTTAGTTCCAGGACTACAATTATTCTGTTCCTCTTCAACCCGTTATGTAGTGTCGCCACATTTTTATACAAATAACGTCCTAAATAATAAATATTTCATAACTTTACGTCTAGAATTGATTAAACAACTTGACGAATATAATCGTTCAGTTTTCAATTTAAAATATTGATTGTGGACAAAGTTATGATACAAAATGTAAATGGGAGCCATATCACTTTTTCCTCTATACTTTTCCTGAATCCTCCGTTGCAGTTATAACGTCGGATGTCTCGTACGCTATCACTTCGGCACCTGTCATAACCGATTACTGTGCAAAAGTTCACGAGCAATGACGCGCAATCGGGACCATTTGATGCGCTCCAGACTTCATCGGGAGGAAACGTGTGCGGACCATTGTGCAAACGAGCGTGTATGACTGTGTGAGTGTGTGCGCGCGTGCGTGTCATGTTAAAAAAAAAAAGAGAGAGAAAAAGAAATGAAAATGTTACGTTATAAGGCGTAAGGAAGTAACTGTAACAACAAAGGCGAGCAGCTAAGTTGTAGAGTTTTTCCTCGGATAACGTCGCTCGTCGAAGTAGTTGTAAATACAAGACGGGAATATACGTTTCTCTGAACCATTAAATAGCGCAGCCCCTCCCTCTGATAAATGAGAGAGACGACCGATTTATCATTCTAGAGTCGTCCACTCTACGAATATAAATAAATATAAATATAAATATATATATATATATATAAATAAATATTAATATACATGTCCGAGAAAGAACGAACAAGGGAGGAATCTCGAGCGAAAAACGAATGCCTACAGAATGCCGGGATGCCGGCTGGACGACGATATTAGATCCTCACGAGGGTCTCGCCGGTTTTTTTTCTACGCGATTATTTTCGCAAAAATCGCCGAACTTTCGCGATAATCTAGTATGCAGCGCGTGCCGCGGGCCTGTGCGCGGCTGCTCGCAATATTAATTAGCGCGTATGTACATTGTCCGCGTCACGCGCACGTGCGTGCTCGCGTGCACCACCACGAAATTCGTACATATATNATATATATATATATATATATATATATATATATATATATATGTATATGTATGTATGTATATATTAATTATTATCCATTATAGTTATAATATTATGATGAATTATTATTTGTACAAATTTTATGTTGCAATATAAAATAAACGATGAAGCGACGATCTGGCATTTTCGATTCTTCTCGTCACGAATACGGAATACGAGGCTACGCAGTAAAAAATTTTGTGTTAAATTTTAACGCGTTTCACATGTTCCAAACGGTCCGCACAAATCTTTGTGTTAGTTTAACATTAGATGAATATGTTAAAATGTAATACAAATATTACGTAAAAAATTAACACAAAATTATATAATTATTCATAGTATGTTAATCGAGATACTAAAGCGTAAAATGTGTTATTTTAACATTTATACGTGTTGAATATCGATACGATGCAAAATATTGGAACAACATAAGTCCAAAATGTTTTTTACTGTGTAGAGCTCGTATTAATAATCGTTGCTTGAAACTTGCCCCACGCGAGGTACTCAGATCTAAATTTAGAGTTAAACGAGTTTTGTAATTAAATTTTCTAAATGCACGTGACATTCTATTTGTAATTACGATTGTAATTACAATTCGATTGAAAAATTTAGATCTAATTCTAAATTCAAATCTAATTATCTCACTTCGACAATTTTTGAGTAATTCAAGCCTTAGAAAGAAAAAAGGAGGGGAGGTGATATCGGGATAAAGAAATTATTCTTGGGATATATCGAGAAATTGAGAAGTTTAATAAACCACGAGATATATGAGTAGTTTATTTCTCTTATTATACCATGATATCTCGTGTACGAACTATTCTTAAAAAGCGTATCAATATTTCTGCACACGAAATGAAACAGCCGCGAGCAATTGAAATTTATCAAGATACGTATCCGAGATTCCCGCTTGCGAATCGTATTAACGGCCGTTGAAATTTGCTCCACATGAGATATTCAGATCTGAGCTTGAGTTAGATCTGAGTTTTTTAGTTAAACCTTACGATGCACATTTTCTACTTGTAAATGCGATTCAACTGAAAAATTCAGATCTAACTCTGAATTTAAACCTCATTATCTCATTTGAGACAAGTTTTGAGCAGCAACTATTAATACGAGCCTCAGAAAGGGAAGGGAGGACGTCGGGATAAAAAATTACCCCCAGGATATATCGACGTGGAGAAGCTGATAAGTTTAACAAACCACGAGATGCGCGAACAGTTTATTTCCCTCGTTATACCGCGGTATTCTCTGTTATAACTATTCGTGAAAAGCGTATCAATGTTTCTGCGCAGGGGGTGGAAATTCAGCCGCGAGCAATTGAAATTTATCATGGACGCGTAGAATCCGAGATTCCCGCCTGCGAATCGTATCGCGCGGAAGATAAACAATCGAGAGACGACGGTGGTATCAATCCTCCCCTCGAGCTCGACGTCGAGACATCGATCTCGAGGGCTCGACGGCGCGAGCTTGCGCCGTCGACATCGCCGTCGTCGTCAAGGGTTTTCTCCCACCACGCGCGCGCGTGTGTGTTCAATAAAACGCTCGCGTGGACTTTTTGCCGTGCGACGGCAGCCGCGTTTTCCTGGGGAGCCGCGAAGCGATATTTCAGAGTCGCGGTCGGCGCGGGGCGACCGGTGAAAAATGCGCGGGGGACCGCATCGCCGCGGGTGACAATCAATAATCGGCGAAATGCGAGTTTTCAGTGGCACGCTCGTGCCGCACGGTGCAACGTGTAATATGCCCGTCGGCGGTGTCGAGACGCGAGAAAGAGCCAGGTAAGAGGAATCGCTCGCGCTGCATACGCGTCGCGCCGAATTACGCTCGCGATCCTCGCCTCCAAGCTGCCGCGCGCTGACTCTAATTCGTTGTGACGCTAATGACGTTACGAAGCTAATGTCATGTCTGAACGCATCGCGCCTCCTCGCATTCCTCGACGAAACCGCGAACGCCGATTATCACGATACGCGTAATGGCGGTAGATAAAATTCAACCACCGAGCAACTGCGCGATGGATCCTCCCGATGGTATGCTACTGATTTTCTCGATCGTCCGGATGCTCTCTGTGTCCAGTTTCAAATTTGATACCCAAACGAGATTTCATGTGTTTCACTCGGACACCTGTTATGGAACCGTTCGGAACTCATTCATTGATTCTCTAGATTTCCTCTTGGATTTTGTAGGGAATAATTAAACGATTCCGAACGGGATCGATTCCGTACGAGTCTATAATAAATAGAATAAAACGAGGATCGCGGTGAAAAATTGTAACAGGTGTCCGAGTACGATTAGTGGATTAATAATATCCGTAAAATGGACCGGGCGATTCGATTTAGCGTGGTTCACCGCGGGCGCCAATTCGCGACTCTTGAAGAAAATTGTCCTCGGTACGTCATACCTGAAGAACGCCCGCTCAAAGGCATTTCTTGCCTTTGAGGTATCCTTCGAGGCCGATTTTCCGAAACATAACACAGGGAGATAACAGTGCGGCGGTAGGCATCGACGGTACCGCATTCTGGTTACGTGATCGACGTCACGTGGCCGCGATGGATCGCTCGGGAGTCGCGATCGCGATGTTTGGTGGCTCGAAGACGTCGCGCGTATTTTCGGGGAAGATTGCACGTGTATTCGGTACTCCGCTACCGAGACGTGGGGCTAATTGAATGCGACTCGACGAACGAGAGACGCGACTGCCAAGCGGAGAGAAGTGCAGAAGTAACAGTGATGAAAAAGCGAGAGTGAAACGCAACAGACACACAGCAGTATCACGCTTATTAACCACGATGAATGCTGTGTGTTGGTGTCCCGTATCGAGGAGAATATTCGTACGTCCGGCTTACGTTGATTTCCACGCGAATGCCAATTGAAGGAACATTCAACTTTCGACATTCAACATTCAGCCGCACTTTCAGTCTCGTGATGATATCTTTTACGCCGCGCGTCGACATATATCTGTGTTAAAAATGCTCATTCATTAGATTCGCAGGCTCTCGTGTTTTCCGCGAGGAAAAAAAACGTCTATAAACGTCCACGACTCACAGTCGTTGCTTATAATCAAAGCCTTGTCTGTGTATTACGCTTTTACACACCGACGTAAGCGACGTGGACTTACTTCGCTCGGGAAAGCCGGTCACGTTCAAAACGCTGTGATCGCGCAGTTTCCAAATACATTACACGATCGCTATATATCGTGTAATCACTAATACATCGCTAATGAATCTCGTTTTGATCTTCCACGTGACCGAACCCCGATGAGATCATCGTTGTCGCGATATGCCGTATCGCGTCACAGTTCGGCGCGTGAAAATTCTCACTCTCGTTTTTTCTCCGGTGTGAAAAATTTACGCGACCAGGAGCTCAAGATATGAATAGTTGCCAATGACACCGAGATGTATATGTGCCCTAGTAATAACAAATCGATGTGCCGTATATAGGCATATTCAGTTGCGGCGACGTTCAGGCAACGGTATGCGGCATTGCTCGGTTTACCGTGTGACATAAGGTTGTTATTAATATTGGTGCTGCCGTTAATATCCGATTATATCCGCTGATATCCGAGAAGCGTGCACATTATCGAGGTAACATATGCTTAATTGGACCCAGCTGACACTTCCATTCATATTTTTCACGCCTTTCCGCACTTACCGGCGGTGCGTTTCCAATATCAACTTGGCATCCGTGTATTCTCACTGCACAATTTAACGTCAAATGCGACGGTCTGCTGCTGGAATTTCGTTCCACCGGAATAAATACCGCGAAATTAATATCGATGTCACGCGAAAAATACACCATATTTAACCCTAATCGTGCATACATCTTTTTGGCAACTTAATCTGGCATACTGGGGTCATTTGTGTCTTCGTTTATTTCAAGTTTGTAAAAGTATTAATAGAAATCTGTAAAAATCATGAATATACATTGAAGTCTGTTGAATGTATTTATGTGAAGGAGTTATCATAAATGTTCACCTAAATATTTTATTTTATTTTATTGAAAATACATGAAGAGAAAACGCGATGAAAATGAGTCGGCTAGGATCCATGACGACCCCAGTGTGCGCGATTAGAATTAAGATCTCTCATCGATATTCGGGATAGAGTCCAATTAATTTTCTTAATTTTCAGTTAATCCGCCTTCCGCGGGTTTCCCTCTCATTCTGTTCCCTTATATTGTTCATAGAAATATTAATTAAATATTGCCAACCCTTGAGCTTGTCCCTACGTTCTTTCGCACGTCATTTCCAAGTTACGGGAATTCTGCGGATGCCGCTCCTACCGTTGCCAAGTTTTATGACTTTGCTTGACGTTTTACACGATACACTTCTGCAATAAAAAAGCGGGGAGCTACGCCTGCATGATTGTGAACCTGCTGACCCGTCTCGGTGCGAATTCTAACTCAGACTCGAGTGTCGCATAATCACACCTAGCCAACTACCGTCGCAAAACTCGTCCACGTGTTCGCTTTCGCAGCGGCGACCGACCGGCGTTCAGACGTCGGCGCCGAAATCGCAGGTACCGCAGCTCTTCTCGATTATCGACCACGGATGCACGCCCGCCACGGTCAAGGCGCAGCCGCGGCCCAGGCGCGGCTGCCTCGATCAAAGCTGTCCGACTTCCTCCATCTCTGGGTCAACAACATCCGACTGCTCTACTCCTGGAGCAACTTGAACAACCCGGGTCCGCCACAACTATCGCCCGGTGCGATGGGTAATCTGCAAAGCGACGGCAAGAAGAAACAGAAGAAGAAGGAGAGTATGGCCCTGCAGGCGTCAACGTCCACGGGAGAGCTGGATGCGACAGTCGAGGACCAGAGGAAGGATAACAAGAGGGACCAGACGCCCAGGGCGGCCGATGGGCGCGACGGAGTTCGCGACACGATCAAGATCAGCTTCGAGAAGATGCAGCCGCCCGGGCATGCCAAGAGGCAGGCGCCGCAACCACCGAAGATCGTATTATCTCAGGTGCGCAGTATCTCATCTCGCTTTCTCTCTTGAGTTACCAAAAAACTCTCAGCGTTATTAACATTCGCGAGCTGCGTCACACGCGAGAAATCAGCGTCGCATATATGTGACGACGGAAGAATCTTTTTATGTCTATATTGTCAAAGCGAGTCTGTTCTGCACAATTACGCAAAGAAAAACAATACGATATTTTTTTTTTAATAAACCGTGGTGCACGGTAAGAAATTTTGTGTTAAATTTAACATATTTCACATGTCCCAAATGGTTCACGCAAATTTTTAATTTAACATAAGATGAGTATGTTGAACAATAACATAAATATTATGTCGAAAATTAGCATAAAATTAATATGTTAATCGACATTGAAGTATAAAATGTGTTGTTTTAACATTTCCACATGTTAAATATCTATTCAACATAACATATTCAAATAAAATAAACACAATACGTTAAATTAATAGGTATGTTAACGATTTAACGCAAAAGTTTTAATTTAACACTAATTTTAACACAAGAACAAAATATTCTTTACGGCGTAGCGAGCGTGTTAATCGCATGTTGGATAATTATATGCAAAAACGAAAGAGCCCGAGGTCTTTTCTAACGCGCTTTATCGATCCCTCGCTCGCAATCGCGCGGAATTCAAGTAGTTTTGTAATTACACAGTAAAAAATTTTATGTTAAATTTAACACAAAATTTCACGTGTCCCAAATGATCCACTCAAACTTTTGTGTTAATTTAACACAAAGTAAATATGTTAAAAAGTAACACAAATATTATGTTAAAAATTAACACAAAATTAATACATTAATCGATACTGAAATATAAATGTGTTATTTTAACATTTGCACATGTTGAATATCGGCACAACACAAAATGTTGAGATAACATAAACATAATATATTAAATTAACACACGGGTACGTTAAAAGTTTAACACAAAAATTTTACGATAATTGATTTTAACACAAATACAATTTTTTTACTATGTAGGACACGCAGAAGGATGCGGAGACTGAGTATCAACAGGATAACACCGCGATAGCCATGACGAAACCTAGTGTAACCATGACGGAGACTTACCGCCCAAGCATTACGACGCCGACGACGACACCGGCACAGACCCCGACGATGCCGCAGGCCCAACAATTACCACCGTTGTTAGTGACCGATTCATGGCGTTTGGCCAACAAGGGCCTGGTCGTTACTGAGATGCCGACGCCGCCCAGCCAGGAGTCATCGAGCGACAGCGTGTTCACGGATCCCGAGGAGCTCGCCTCGATTCCCGGCGCGACGGTACCGGCGGCGGCGGAAGCGGCAAAACTGCCATCCGAACGGAAATCAGCTCCCGAGAAGACCTGCAACAAGGAGGAGAAATCGGCCTTTACGATCTCGAGGCACAAGAAAATTCACCTCGCAATGTTGAGTCCTCGAATAAGTAAGCGTCGTTTCGCTGATCTTTTCGTTTTTATGCAAATTTTCAGAGGGATTAGTATAGTTTATGTATTATATATATTTATATACATATATATTTTATACGCACAGAGTGTCTGAAACTTTTAATGGTATCCGTGATGTGCAGGTAGAACGGGTGAAACTGAACAGGAAGGTTATGTACCATTTTACAAAATTTGCAATAATTAATGAGGAATTAATTAATCTGTACAAGCCAATGAGCGCACGGGAAATTCATACAGATTAATTAATTCTTCATTAATCCTCTAATGGCAAGATGGATTTTCAATATATTTAGGAAAGTGAGATTGCATCCAACCCCATGCTGTTTTTTTCATTTTTTAAATCTATCAGACCCCATCTTATGATTAAAGGATTAACTATTATGAATCTTACAAAATGGTAAATGACTTTTCTACTCAATTTCACCCGTTCTATCCGCACATCACGGGTACCAAGAAAAGTTTCAGACACCCTGTATATATTTTTTATACATATTTAATTAGTATTTTAACAGAGATACGAAAACTTTTTAATTTGTGATGTCTTTTGCATGTGAATAGCATGTCGTGATGTTTTAACGTTTTTTACGGCGCTCAAAATTTCGAAAATTTCAAACTTTCCATCGATTCTTCCCCTAAAGGACTACTTATATCTTTTCAGCGTCCTAGACTATAAAAGTAGAAAGTATTATCTTCTGTAATTCTTGCGAATTATATTTGCATATATCTGACTTTCCCAATTTTCTGCTTCATAATGTATCTTGTTTATCAAAGTATCATTTCGAAGAAATGACGAATCAATCACATTTTTCGACAACTTTCTTTTACTGTACGAATCAACAACTCTGTTTGGAATATTTGTTAATGAACGTATTTTTGGATATAGTACTGAATGAGAATACGGAGGCGTCGAGTCCGACGTCGGAAGCGAGCATTAATCTTCAAAGACGACACAGCATCACCGAATCTTCCGTAAGCGAAGGTATCGTGTTAAGAAGAGTGGCCAGTTTGACTCTCGACCGAACTACGAAGAAAAAGGCTCTCAAGAATATCGTTCCTCCAAAGATGGTTCGTTGTAAAAAAGGTAAGGGCAGGAAGGTTGGAACAAAAGCTATTCATTTCTACGATCCTCGTAATTGGAATTTTGTAACATAGAATAGTAGTACAATATTTTTTGCTTAATAATAATTTTTTCTCAAAATTGAATATATTTCAAATTATTCACCGGCGAACGGCAGAGACATTTTTTAGTTTCTCACAGTTTCTGATTACCGATTGTAAAAATTGTTCAACTTCATAACTTAATTTTTATCACGGCATCGAGATTTAGGCAATATTTTTTGGTGAATTCGTTTCGTTCGAAGTTTTTGGCTGGCACAGCAAATTACTCGTTACTATAATGGCAGCAAAAATATTTGTTTGGACAGCAAAAAGATTCGTTAAGAATATTAATTGTTGATTGTGCCAATTTAATTTTATTGCTGTCGCAACGACGTTTTATTACAACAGCAAAATAATTTTTTTCGCGTGACAAATCTTCCTGCTATCACTATAATAACAAACAATTTCCTGTGCCAGCGGACAATTTTTTCTCCGTGGATCCAGTGATCGGTAGTGATCGAGTGGTCGCTATCTGATTAAATGGAACTTCCAAAGTCCGCGTCTCTACCCCGTAGATCCGTGCTCATAAAGACGGCTTACGCGAAATGAGACATGTGCTCGAACAGGTCAGCGTACGACCTAGAAACCATTGTAGCGATAGATCGATTACGGCCTTAAGGCGAATCTTATCTCGCGATACGGAAGAAAAGGCGCGCGATAACGTTGCAGAGGGATAAACACGCGGTCGTTTGTTTCTCTCGCGTGTTATGACATAATTTACGACTGGAGATTCCCGACGCATTCTCGCTCCCAGAAAAATCGCGGACCGCCGCGAGATCAGTAAATACTAATCGCCCGCAATCGCTACTAAGTAATCCATTGGACGGCGATAAGGATAGCTTCTTCCTCCGAAGCCGCGTCGTAGAAATGTTTTGAACGGCCGAATAATCCGTATCACAATCGTAGCCGAGGTTAGCGCGAATGATACGTCAGCCGCGTTTGTTTGATAAGTCTTATCAATGGGGCGTTCGCGGGTTTACGTTCGGATCGTAATGCCTTCCTCGCCGTTGCCCGCCAACAAGATGCGCCAGTTTCTCGCGAGGCAGCGCGGCAAAATAGACATCCGCGAGCTGCGCGACGTTACGCGAGATGATGCATCCTAAGTGACTGATCGACTCGAAATTTAAGGGTGACCACGAGAGAGAAGAGCGACACAGTGCGTGTGTACAAAGTGTGCACGCGCGTTCATATCGCGCGTATATTATAAAAGATTTGAAGTCAGTCATTGATCTCTTCGAGCGTGATCGGCAAACGGCGGAAATGATACTGACGGTATCGCAGTGGCCTTCTTCTTCGAAGAGTAGGTTCTGTTTTCGCGCCGCAAATACGCGTTACCGTGATTGTGCAAACGGTCAGAGTTAATTATATATCTCGTGTATGATCTGATATCATTTCTATGTAGTACTCGCCGAAGATCGCGCGATAAAACAACCGGGAAAAGGTGAGGTGTATCTACAAGAATCGCTCATCTCGGGAGTGAAGCGAGATAAAAGATACGATAAACGCTTGCCTCGCTTGCGCAATAAACATCGTTGATTAGCAGGAATTCTGAGTCCGTAAATATACAATTGTCGTTAATTTTGATAAATAATGGGAAGGCTAATAATAGTACTGAACCAGAAACAGAGCTAAGGTCGGGATAAAACGGAGATAATTTGTCATATTCAAATTGCTTGATATCCCAATTGAAGGTTTACCGTTAAGAAACCAACACGAAAATTCTATTCAATATTGGACAAACAGATTTATTGGCCACCTCCGTTCGCAATTTCGCCTATTTTCGGAAGCAGATCGGTTCTTTAATATTTACGTTGCGGAAAAAATAATCGCACATTGATCAGAGATGATAGATAAACGATAGTGCAGTATGGAACACTTGATGTACGAATAAAAATGATCACGCAGCTTCTCACGATCTCGCTGATATAAGATTAGTTTGCGAGATACACGTGTCGATATTATTTCAATTAATGGATTTGTTTCTTTCAGAGCAACCGCCTCGTCTGACCTCTGTGCTATCGGGCCGAAATATGAAGCATGATACCTTATCCACGGTAAAATTCCCATCAATTAATTTCACAACGGTCAACGTATCCGTCGCGATTGCTTACACGTGAAACGCCTTCTCTCGATTAGGTGGATCGGTCGGATGGGCTGTTTCCGGCTCGAATCCACTCGAGTCAGACTTGCCACGGATTCTGCGAGGAGGAGGTGAAGAAACTGAGAGACGAGATCAAACGACTGCGCGAGGTGACCACGAAGGGGGAGATAAGCACCAAATGCCAGTCTACTCAAACTTCGCCGAGGAACTTGTCGCCGATCGACGCACACGTCGATGAAACGGACAACCTGAACGTCGCCCGACAATCGTCCTTGACGGAGAAAGACGTCGCGGATCTCGAAGACAGAGTGACCCCCGCGCCTTCCTGCGCGAGCAAGACACACGACAAAGATATCGCGTCGTTGCAGCCGCCCTCGCCGCCGGAATCGACCCCGAAGAGCAGACCCATGTCAGATAAGTCCTTCATCCCGCCGCCTCCGCCACCGCCGCCGCCGTCACCGTTCGCACAGGCAACAATGCCGGTGGTACCGGGCACCGAGAAGACGATTCCGTCGATCTCGTCGGGGCTGTCCGACTTTTCCAACAGGATACCGACNCACCGCCACCCCCGCCGCCACCCACACCGATGCCAAGTACAAACACGGTACCTTCTCCCTCGTCGTCCGTATGCGGGCAAAGTGTCATCAGCACGCCTCCTTCTCTGCAGAGTATTATAAACGCGGTGCCGCCGCCACCGCCACCTCCACCCCTATGCACGTCTACGCTGGCACAGAGTGCGAGCGGCATGCCTCTACCGCCGCCGCCGCCGCCACCTCCGCCGCCTCCGCCTCCACCTATGTCCGTCGTCGCCATGAGCGCGATCTCGCCGCCACCCACACCGATGAACATGTGCGGGATTCCACCACCGCCTCCTCCACCACCACCCCCTCCTCCTCCTCTGTCGTTGTCGTCGTTCACGATGGACGGCGAGGTACCTTCGCCGCCACCGCCGCCGCCGCCACCACCGTTACCCGGAGCGATGCCAGGCTCTATGAGCGGACCACCTCCACCACCAGCACTGCCAGGTATCGCGTCCATGGGCGGTATACCTCCTCCGCCGCCACCTTTCATCGGAGCACCAGCCGTGGGTCCACCTCCACCACCGCCCATGACACCAGGTGCGACTGGACCCTGTCCTCTACCTGCTCCGCCGGTTGGAGGGTGGAATCCGCCCAGCAGGGCCAGTGAGTTTCGAAATTTCTGAGGCTGACGTGTACTCTCGATTAACGCACGACGCGCAGTAAAAGCTCGTCCAGACAAACTTTGCGTTATCGCATGTTGAATGTGTACGAGGAAATCAAGCAATCATGACCCGTGCAAAAAAGGATGTTTTCTATATTAGACACGTGACTGGTCGATTCCCTTCTGCATTTGCATTATGCGACTGTGCACACGTTTATCTGTACAAATCTTCATACTTGCTCGTGCCTCGATGCGGCGTGATGCCACGCATTTCCCGCGCAAGCGGATTCCCTCGTGTTCCCCGGTCGAACCCAGTTGCTCCGGATAATCGAGAGTATAATCGAGAGTATACCGTATAATTCTTCCCCCCGGCGCGGGATGCTAGTATTTGTACCGTCTAACGCAGTTTTTCGCTTTCGTAGTTATGAGGAAGCAACCTTTAAATCCTGACGTGCCTATGAAGCCGCTTTATTGGACGAGGATCTTAGTGCCCGTTGCTGCGAGTAGTCCAGATCCCGTAGATGTTCCAGAATCATTGCCACACCGTCAGGTAAATGGGCAACCATGATTACGATGAAAAGTATACGATAAAAAGCCTGTGAGCGACGTGATAGCCTTTAGCTGAAAATGTTTTGCCGCTGTAGCCAAAAATTTATATATAATGTATGGATACTTACTGCAAGTTTAGCTACAGTAGACATATATCAGGCATAGCGTCCAAACGTCCAGCAACGGTAACCAAAGTTCTAGTTACAACAGCAAATTTCCAGCAACAAAACATCTTCAGCCAAACCATAATTAGTTAAGCCAGCAAAATCATTCTTCCTCGTGGTATGTAATTTTCGCCTCGTTCTCATTTGATTTTTCAGCCGCCTCTATGGTTAGAGCTCGCTGAGGAAGAGGACATAAATATAAAGGAATTCGCAGATTTATTTTCGCGGCAAGTGAGACAGAAGAATCTTAGCAAAAAGAACGACGACGAGACACCTAGGAAATCCAAGGTGCAACCGGCGAAGATACTAGATTCGAAGCGCTCGAAAATGGTAGGGATTCTGGAGAAGAGCTTACACATCGACTTTAGCGAGATCGAGAACGCGGCGTACAACTTGGACACGAGCGTGATTAGCCTCGAGGCGTTGCAGCAGATCTATGAAATCGTGAGTAAATAACAATGCGCACTCAGAGAAATGACACAGTCCATATTCTGAACTCACTTTTCTCGATAAAAATGTCTCTAATAGCTGCTTAAAAACCTGATTAGATGAAAAGCCACATTTAAAGTATCTTTATCGGCAAAAGTGAGTTCAGAATATGGACTTTAATATTCGCAGCTAAATTTCATTAGCTAGTTTGAACTTTGAATTCGCCATCTGTTTTTATGGAAAATAGTCCCTTTCTGGGCTGAAAACATATTCAGCCGAAAGCATGTTTTCATTATTCCAACTAAAAGTTTTCATGGGCTAAAAACGGCGGAATATTTTTGTAAGGATAACCCTGCAGTGGTGATGCGAAAAACAAATGTCATCCGTGCGCACTAAAATGCATTTTCCGAAAAATATTAACAAGCATCTACCTTGCGCCTCCGTGTATCTGTCAGCTAGGAACTGTGCTTTCAACCATTGCGGAAAATTGAAAACAACTCATGCCCAGGAGTGCGAAGTCGTTGTTTTCTCTGCGGGAGAGCTTGCAATAGGATTACCAGAATATCATGTCAAAGATACACAAATTGGACTTGTCCAGAACATTGCAATTATATATGTAATGCTTGCTATGAAAATAATATTTATATATCTTATCTTAGTGTTGAAACAGAAATTCTTTTCAATCGCGCCTGTAAACTACCTCGACGCTTTTTACTCTGTAGAAACCAACGGATAAGGAAATAGCGGAGATCACGGCTCACGAGGAGATGCATCCGGATATTCCTCTCGATCAGCCGGAGCTCTTCCTCAAACGATTATCCGGCATCAAGCACTTCTCCGAGAGAATAGCCAGTCTGATGCTGCAATCGGACTTTCAAGACGCGATTTCGTCTGTCTCGTACAAACTGAACAATGTGCAAACGACTTGCGAGTTTCTGATCAAATCCGAGCCCTTGAAGAAGGTGATTGCCATCATATTGACCTTGGGCAATTATATGAACGGTGGCAACATGATGCGCGGCCAGGCGGACGGTTTCGGCCTGGAGATCCTCGGCAAACTGAAGGACGTGAAGTCCAATGCGCAGGGGGTCACTCTGTTGCACTACGTCGTGAGAACGAAGCTGTCCCAAGAGAAGGAGCATAACTTCGATGAGCCGTTGCCCCTACCTGTGCCCGAGCCGGCCGACGTGGAAGCCGCCTCGGCGATCAAGTTCGAGGAGCTAGCCAAGGAGCTCGATAAATTGGAGAAGGAGCTGCAAGGTGAGTGATGCGAGAAATGGCGGAAGATACGATGGTCTATGGATATCTTATACGGGTGAAATCGATTTGTTTAGCGTGCGAGCAGAAATGCGATACGGTCGTGAAGACGGATCCAGCCACGTCGAAGATATTCAAGGAGAAGGTGGACTCGTTCATGACGAGAGCGAATGCCGAATTGAAGAACGGGCAGGAGCAGTTGCTGGAGGCTAAGAACAAGTTCAAGGAAGTCATGCGGTTTTATCAGTTCATCCCGAAAGGCGCCACTATGGAGACCGCAGAACCGCATGACTTTTTCAATCTATGGCTCGGCTTCTGCCGAGACTTTAAGGTATAGTTCGAGGCAACGTTAAGAGAGAATCAGATTGAGAAAATCTATTTTAAAAAATCAGATTTTCTTTAAAAAAAAACTAAGAAGAACGGTTTTTCTTTGTGAAAAATTACTTTTTCTGCTAATTAAAAGAAAACATGATTCCATTAAAAAATTAAAGTTGATCTTGATATAATGTTTTAAAAAGTACCTTAACAATGTAATAATTTGATCATTTTATGCCTCCTATATATATGAAATCTTACACCTTTTGTCTGAAACTTCTTTCGAATAATGAATTTCTTCCGAAACATTAGTTTGTAACACTTTATATACTCGTAGATCACCCAATAGTTATTTCTTATTAACACGAATTAAAAATTTAAAATTACACTGATAACATTATACTTTTCTAAACGAATTTTTCTATCTTTGGAAAAAATTGAGAAAATCCGTGAAAAATTGACAAACCCCGGTTCTTCTCCGAGCTTTCAAAACTATAAAAAAATCTGAGGAAGTTACGACAGGTCGCAGATCGTTTCTTTTCCTTTTCGTAGGATATCTGGAAGAAGGAGCAGCAGCGAATATGCAAGGAAAGGCTGGAGGAAGTTCGGAGGAAGCTCGAGAGCAAGCCCGATGTAGTGAGGGTGAAGTTAAGTCCTCACGGATTGAAAGCGCGACTGCAGAAATTAACGAACAAGAAACAGGCTCACAGATAGTCCCGTCGAGACAGGCGCAAACCGATAGGCGCTCCTCGGATTTTGGATCGCGAACAATTCACGCGCGCTTACCGCAGAATTACAAATCACGCTCATTTCACCCATTGAACTCTACAGCCGCGCGGGCGCTGATAGAGGATTTAATTGTATATATTAATTTTTAATTCGCACATTCGTTCTCCTTCCTTCCCGATCAAATCGAAAATAAGAAATCCGAAAGCGCGAGACGTTGTATTCGTCGCTGCGGAAGCGGCGACCTCGGAAAATTTATTTATCTACTTTTTTTATAAATCTCTACTGCAAACGTATGCGCGTTATCTCGAACTGCTCAAGAAAACAAATAGAAAATGAGGCGATTCGATTCGTTTGAACACCAATCAATCAATGATACGGTAACGTTGAGGATATTTCAAGCATGCGCAACGAAGTACGATGAATTTCGGCCCGGATGCAGTACGATCACGAATTTTCCTTAGGCAATCAGTCGATGAGATGCGATGAGCTACGATATGCGAATTATAGCTGTTATACAGACTGAAATGTTAATGATGCACTGAAAGATATAATGTATACACTTATTGTTAGACGCGTTTTCAGAAAAGTTCACTAATATCGAGTAAAGAGTAGTAGTCTGGCGGCAGCTTTACGGGTATCGCTTGCAAACAAGTTGCAAAACACATTTCAATCTCCGTGTGTTGTACTGACAGAGTCAGTACAACTCGATAATTACGGAAGATTGGAGACTTGTTTGGTAGAAGAGAATCATATAATTAAGCTCTGTTCTCATCTCAGTCGCGCTTTGTCACTTTCTTCTCCTACTGCTTATTTTCTACTCGCTTGCTTATCGTTTTACACGAAAAACGAGCGTACGCAAGCTTCGAAGGAGAAGATCGCGAGAAGATGCGACTGGGGAGGACAGTCGTAGATACTATAACGTCCACGGTGACTAGAAAGTGTGTGCCTATTTGTACCATACACTTAATCCATGAATTTTCATTTCTCTGGAGCGGAGACTTCAAGAGGAAGACACCGATCGTGATATTGTCATTGTTGTTACAACCCGTTACCGATATTTATTTATTTATTTATCCGTTTGTGTTAATTTATACCAGATTGTCATGGATCAATAAATAAGAATGTAAATAGGACGTTGACTCTTGTAAGAGATACCGGTTGTGTTTAATAAAAATCCTTTGTATATTTAAACGCGAACGCAGATACACTCACTCTTACACTTAGATTAAAGGTAACATCTCTCACGAAAAAGTAGCACTAGCAATCAGTACTCAGTACTGACTCGGGGGAAAAAAATTTCTCATAAAATTATATATGATTATATATAATTATATATAAATAAATTAAAACATTTATATATAATCATATACATTTCCCCAGACAGCACAAATCTCCTAGAGACATCCTGATGTCCTAAGGACATCCACAAGGCATCCATAGGATTTTACAAAACACTTACAGGATATCGTGTTGTTTGTATTTATATCATTACTTCGTATATAATTATATACAATATTTTTATATATGGACATATTTTACATATAATGCCTTATATGTATTTTACATATAATGCCATATATGTAATTATATATATTTATTCATATTTATATATAATTATATATATCTAATTATATATTATTATATATATAATTACAAATGAAAGATTGTTTCCAGAGAGTGATCAGTAAGCGTAGTATTGATTACTCAATACCGAGTATTGACTGCTGATATTACTTTTTTTATAAAGGATGAGTATTTCGACGTTCGTCATTACGAAAAATGTTACTGAGAAGTGAAAATTCGAAATCACAATACACAATGTGTCATTACGTTTCATGTTATGTCTCACAACCTCTGGAAACGAGCAATGACCTTTTCATTCTTTCGTAATTGTCGAATGAATTATTAGTAATAATGCTTAATAGGACGCTTGCTATTCGAAAACAAGATTTTTTACCTTGTCGTTGAGTCGTACTGGATGATGCGTTAAACATGTTTGAACTGGTTCGAACGAATCGGCACTGTTCCAAAATAGTTCCAAGGTATCCGCTACGAGCCGCCACCGTCTTAAAATTGAGGTCGTAGTATAATTTTATGGTAAGTCAGGCGGACCTGTCATTTTTAAGAAATACGACTCAACGGTCGGTCAGACGATATCTTTTTCATTAGTAGGATAAATTTTTCTAAAATTTCCTCGTGAAACTTGTTACTTCGAATTAAATTAAACTGTCGACACATGTGTTTGAACGTGAGAACAGTGGGGAAAATAATCGATCTTTTTAACAAAAGAAAAAAGTAGCACTTTGCGGCATTGCGTTCCTATCCCACGCATTTCCACACGACCAGCGGATAGAACGACATAAACAAGTGTTTCACGGTTTTCTCATGTCATTACGCGAGAGAGTCCATACCTAGCGAATAAATTGGATCCTAGGTATGGGGAAGACCACAAGGGTAGTCGTTTGCGGGATGAAAGGAGTCGGGAAGACCGCCTTGCTGGAGCAACTTGTATACGGAAACATTGATGTGAAAACGGTATGGATTTAGGTTACCTACTTAATATACATGAACTTGATGCAGCCCTCAATTTGCAGATATACTTGCTAAAGATTCTTTCACACTCATGCACACGCATTTCATAATGCATGCACACTCATTGCATAGAGGAAATTAATTGATGAAATTCCTTTGTTTTAGTTATTTTACTTAGTATCTGTATTTCAATCAGTCAAAATTAATTTGTACTTGGTCTCACTTACTCTATAATGTCACTTTATATGGTATCTATATTTCAATCAATGAAAATTAGCTAATATTTGGTCTTACCTATTCTATAGTATCATAATGTAAGAAGTATCAGCAATGTAACAATATATGATTATATTGAATTAGCAGGAGATCCATCCCACAATCGAGGACATTTACGTCGCCAACATTGAGACTGATCGAGGCACAAAGGAGAAAGTCAGATTTTACGACACAGCTGGACTGGAATCTCTGCAGAGCAACGTAAACAATCAGCAGCTTCCACGACACTACCTGGGTTTCGCAGATGGCTACGTTTTAGTATACGACACTGGCAAACCCGAATCTCTCGACGTACTTTTTCCATTGAAGAAGGATATCGATAAGAATAAGGATAAGAAAGAAATAACTGTGATAGTGATAGGTAATCGGTCGAAAACCGATGCTGTATTAAATAACTTAGAGAATACCGCCAGCAAGGCCACCAATTGGTGCACCAGAGAAAAGGTTAAACATTATGAAGTAAATGTTATGGACAGAGCCAGTTTATACGAGGCGTTTGTGCATTTGTCGTCCAAGCTGAATCCGCCAACCAACAAAAGCACATTTCCGCAATTGAGTATGGGTAGGAAAACCGTCAAGGCTGAAGCACAGTGATGATCATTCCCAAAAATTCAGTGGAATTACGCGAAAGCCTGAATCGTGGTAGTTGCAATACGAGACCGCCTACATGAATCTTGTACTCAGGTATAATTTATTTGATAATGGTCGACGCAGTCCGCGTCGATGAAGACGTGCTCCGAGATCTCAACAACCGTGTATATGTGCGCAGTACGTACTTCTTTATTTACTTCGAACGTATGTGTGATATTAGGCTTGAAACGAGATAAACAGGCTTGTAGCGCTATATATTGTGTACTTAAGATATCAAGTTTCTTGCGAGAAACTGTCTAATATAACATTTATTGAATCGCGAGCAGAATTCAAATGCAAATTCCTCGATATTTTGCTGCGAGATTGCAATGTTATATCGTCATTCGAAAGCCTCTCTTTGTAGCGCTACCGAGTCTTGATCGTTAATTAGTATGAAACTACTGAATCTCCCTTAAGAATTATCTGTACTTAAATCGCCCTATAGAACTGAACTCTAATTGAATTTGCGTACAAAACTTTACGCGTAATTATCATAAAAAGTAACATATATTTATTTGTTATAATATGCTTAGTACTTATTATAATTACGATTGTGATTATAACAATGATGAATAATTTATCTTACAAAAATGTTAACCTAAATATTAATAAATATGTAAACGTTGATACATTGTTTTGCTTCACCACAGTAAAGGCTTATCTAATTTTCGCAAAATTAGATCCGTGTTGAGCAACCGATCCCACAATTCACTGGTAACGCCAAATCCTGCAATAGACAATAATCATTTCTTATTTCTCATCATCAGTAAGAAATATTTCGTATATATTAAAATCGATTCTTGTTAAAATTTTTAATATACTTATATGTTAAATTTACATGTTATGTTTATGTTATCTTAATATATTTTGTGTCGATATTCAACATGTATAAGTGTTAAAATAACACATTTTGTATTTCGGTGTAAATTAACGTATTAATTTTGTATTAATTTCTGACGTGATATTTGTATTACTTTTCAACATATTCATCTTGTGTTAATATTTATATTAAAATGTATTAATTGTATTAATTTTATATTAAATTAATATAAAAATTTATATAGACCGTTTAGGACATGTGACATGTTAAATTTAGTACAACATTTTTTACTGTGTAATAAATCATCAATGTGATAATTCTCAGTAATTACCTTGTTCATGATATATAAAATGATGATAGTTGTGTCTTCTTTTCATCGTGTATAAATATGAATCAATTTTCGGAGCTCCATAATGCAAGTAATAATGCGTCAAGTCATAACAGAGATATCCTGTAAAACAGATATTAAAATTGCAATTATAAAATCGTGATGTTCGATTATGCGGGCCAAATCGAACTGATACTTCCCAAACAATAGAATGCTTAAAATCGAGACATAAGGTGTTTCGTTGTTTGTTTTAAAGACGTCTTTCAGACGTTATGTATTAAACACGTCTTAAATACGATATTAATACGTCTTATGTTTCGATATTAGACATTTTGTTGCTTGGATTGATGAAAAATATTCAAAAATCTATGGATACCCATAAAGTTTACCCATTATGTTACCAGCTGCGATGAGATGGGCCATCGTTACAGGAAATATGGCTTTATAAATATACCAAAGTATCCCCGCCACAATGACACTAAATACCGGTGGAAACACTAATCTCCGTCCATCCAACGGTGCCTATTAACGTGATAATTAACTGGTAATTAAAATTATCTAAAATTACGTAAAATGTCAAGTTAAAATACACATATTACCTTGTGATGGTTTCCATGAAATAAGAAGTGTAAAGTAATTAATAATTTTGAATTATGCGGTGGTTTGAGATGAAATATTTTTCGATGCACGAAATATTCCATGATGGTCCATATAAGAATCCCCAGAGTGAACGACATTAAGATCCTCTGTGATGAAACGACTAAAACAAGGAACTCCCTGTTATAACCTTACGACGATACTAGGATATGCTTCAAGCGTTTTAAAGAGAATTTTTATTTCGTACATTTTATATATGAGAGTACAAATTACCGAGGTTCGTCGAAATGTTCAGGACACATCCCACGTAAATAAAATACGTAACTATGGGAATCCACACGATCGGCACCAAATACCACGGCGTGATCGATAATATTTCTAAAATATCCGATTGAAAAAATCGGATGGGTCGGTTCACCGGCAAGTTCACCCATTCCCAATATCGGTCGCCCATAAGGCCTACTTGTCGTAAAATCGGCGCATCCCAATTCACCAAATCCTAGAATAAAATACTGTCTCGTTATCGATTTGTTTAATTTTTTTTTCTAAATATAAAATGCCTCATTATTCCTTTAGCATCTAATATAATCGTATTCACTTTCATCACCTATACAAAAATCGTAAGAAAATAATTACTATTTTTGTTCATAACATTGATATTGTAACTTTGTTGACTTTCTGCAATCGTCATGCACGAATCTTTGATTTCTTTATTGGTTATGTAAAATATTGATAATGACTATTAAATCATTCTCAAATTGTACATCGCACGCGCGCGCGCGATTTGATGAAGCGCGGGAATATCACAAATTTTCTTAAAGAGGAGTTTAATTTTCTAGTTAACTTGTGATTTAAGCTTAAGGTTCCCGAGTAATCGTTATGACTCACGTCCTTGTTTAATGACGTCAGAAGCGAGAAACTGTATGCTTAGATTTCTTGCGTTATACTTTCAAATAAAAAGATATATTCATAAAATGATATTTGTGAACGATTTAGCACATTTGTAGAAATGAACGAACACTTTTCTTTTACTTGTTCATCTATTTTTATAAGTGATGAATCGCTGACAAATGTCATTTTATGAATATATCTCTTTATTTGAAAGTATAATGTAAGAAATCTTGAAATGCAGTTTCTCGCTTCTGACATCATTAAACAAGGACAGTCATAATGATTACTTGGGAGCCTTAAGCCTTGAAATATATTTTTCTATTCATGGTTAATCATTAAATTTTTAAAGTTATCACTACAAAACTATCGGTTTAATGGTTAACCATAAATAGAAAAACACAATTTTTGCATTATCAATTTAAACATATAGGAATTTAAGCCTAACCCACAAGTTAACTAGAAAATGAGAAACTTAATATCGTCAATTTTTGTACTTCTTATCATAAACGCCAGTAAGGCTCGAAGGCGCTGATAAAATAAGATCTCCAGCCTTTATCGGTTTATCGCGACTTTTACAACGTGGAAGTGTGAAGCGAGATAAACGTTGAGATAAAGCTGTTATAGGAGCGGTGTAAGCGAATCGATCCATCCGTAGACAGGATAAAGTTATCTATGAAAGCTATACGTGAATTTCTCAATATTCAATAAAGTAAAATATTAAATTGGATAACTATCAAAACGACTTCGTCGAAATCTGCATACGATTTAGTAATTACTACAGATTTTTTACATCAACATACATGGTTTTTAAAAATTACACAGTAAAAAACTTTGTGTTAAAAACTATTTACGGAAATTTTGTGTTATTTTAACTTAGGGAATGTGTTAAAGAGTACACGAATATAATGTTAAATTAACTCATTTTCTATGCTAAAGTAATATAAAATTTCAATGGAGCATTTTCAACAAAATTTAATGAAATAAATTAAATGAATTAACATTTTGTACCGTGTAGAAGTGTAGACTTGTTCGTTGTTCAACTTTATAAAAATTGTTTAAGTGAATAAATAAGTGTTTCAACATAGATTTTTCTTTCTCATAATATACGAGCAATTCGTCATCGGTTTTTCCTGTTTTTCTTTCATACGTGAATTACTATTATAGTGAGTGAAGTGCTTGTTGAAGTGAAATAGTCAATATATTTCTATTATAAGTGAATTACTCACTTCACATTCGTTATATCTCTCTTGGCGGTGCACAGCAAACTCTTCGAGAAGGTAATAAGCTGATTTAGAATGCGGATGTCTCACTAATGCTCCGTCTAAAACTTGGTCCTTAAAACGTCCGAGTGTGTTCTTTCCGCCAGGATGATTATTCAAGAAAGAATTAACATCATAAACGCGGCCACGATACTTGACAAAAAACTCACTCGTTCCTTTCATGTTTGCCGTGACGTTACCGCTGCGACAGGTATCCATTTTATTCGCGCAAATCACATCGTCCGTCGCCTCGGTATCACGCACATTCACGCACTTGAAATAAAGTTTGTTATCGAAATCTTTATCTTGATTATCCATTTCGACGAAATAATTTCAAAAATTGGCAACGTCAATCCGCCAATTGGCCGCAAGACGAACTGTGCACCGTGTGCACTACCGCACGTACTACTAAGTAGTCGACGTTATGTGACTTGGTAATTCGCTGTAGTAGATAAGGCTTTACCGTAAATGTTACGTGGGAGGGCTGGATGATGACATTACATTTCGTAAACAATGATACTATCATAGCGAATGCGAGCGATTATCAAGGTTAATATTGTTACGTATCCAATGAGAAAATGCGAGAAATACATATGTATCGATTTCAAGATGATTCAAATACAGCTTTTCCAAAGAAGTCAGAATGTAGCCGATAGTCTAATGAAAGCGTGTCATTTCAGTTACGTTACAAATTTGAAAAACAAAAATTGTTCAAATCGCTTTAAAACCAAATGTACATATTATATCACAATCGTATCTTAAGAAAACACGCGGAAAAATTCTTGGTTGAACAAGACGTGTTTGATTCGTTTATTGTCACGTTAATTTAACCAAACGTTAAAAAAATATATATAATGTAATCAATGTATACAGCTACTTTAAATGTAAGACTCAAATTCACATGTAAAGAATTCACATATCGTAAAGCCTTGGAAAAAGAGCGAAACTGCGTTACGTATTTGCACTCTCGAAACTTACAGTTTGAATCGGATTCTTGAAGTGTTCAGTGTTAATTTTGCAATTGTTTTGGAGTAATTTTTTTTTCCTTAAATTGTTCTCGCGAAATTTTCAAAGAGAATAAAAAACAGAATTTCAAAGATTACAAAGGTAACGATGCCGCATATGCAATTACCGTACGATTCTATATTCTCAAAAACGCAAGGCAATAATTTCGGCAATAAATAAGCTTTTATTTAAACGCTTTGAATCTTGTGTACAGTGTGTGTCCTATTAAATATCTAAGTTTCAGTCGCTAAAAATTACTGCGATGATGCTCAAGTTCAAGAATAAGTTATATTAACGGATTGAGCATTCGCGCTATCAAAAACGTACGTAGTGTGTCGAGCAATAAAATACAATCGGAAGTACTCTCGCTTACTATGGAAAATCGATTTCTCCGGACTAAAAGTAATTACAGTTACGCATTCGTGTAAACCTAATTCTAACGAACGAAGGTATGTAGTAATACTCGTTTTCCTCTCCATAGTACTTTACGCAGAACTAAAGAAATTCTTTCGCACGGGATGGGAATCTCTTTTTTTTTTTTATTCCGACGAGGAGACTGCGCGTGATCGGACCTTAGCAGCCTAGGACAGAACTATTCAACATTAATTATGACAATTATGTTAACTATATGTACATATCACTTCGAGGAATTACCGAGCGCATCGGACACACAAACGTTTAAGCGAAACTCGAGATCTATCTAATACCGAAACGAGTAGAACAAGCGTGTTCGTTTAACTCTCGGTTTAACGGTGCCATTTAATTCTTTTTTTTTTTTTAGTTTCTTGTTTATTCTCAATAAGAAGATAGGCCAAACCACGTTGTATTGAAATTCTTTAATCGTTAAATCGTTGAAGACGGTATCGTGGAATTTACAAATATATACGTATATAGTTCGATTTTCAAAAAAGAGAGAGAGGGTCGGACGACGATCGCGAATGCTCCTTAACGCCATATCGATCGTTTTTGATTCAAAGCCGTACTTTGAGCCTTGGATAATATACCTCGTGCTCTTTCATCATGAGAAAGCGATTTTCCCTCCTGCATATCTTTTTATCATGCAATGATACTCATACGGTTACGATAAAGAAACATTTACATTTTTAACAGTGAATCACATCACGATAAAGACAAGAGAGCGGTAAGGCTGGTAAGCCAGAAGAAAGTAAATTCGATTGTCTTGAATTAAGAAACTCTCGTATATGACGTGTGAAATGTCGGTAAGAGGATAAATAATATACAGAAACGATGAGCGCCTCTTGCAACTTCTCGATGATGCAACATGACCTCGGACGGTATGAAGATGATTAAACGTTATAGCAGGCGGAACGCGATCGTTTTTGAGGAGGAGGAGAATTACCGAATTCTCCTGTTTTGCCGTGTCGCCTACCTCAGCCGACGTTATCTCATAATTCGGCATAATAAGGGCGACGAATGATTATTCCCTCTTATCGTGCACATCGAAAGAAAAAAAATGCAACTCGCGCGTTGTCCGCTCGCGTGTTCGCGCTTAAACGACTAGCTTCTAAGTTTGTGTTCCTCATGCACAAGGGAGGAAAGGGCATGCGCTTTATACGATGTAGAAAAAAGGGAAGAAAAAGTAAGTAGGTACGATGTCGTCTCACTATCCTACGCGATTAAAAAAAATAGGTACTTCACGAGGTATTAATTTAGATGCGGTACAGCGTAACGCCTAATTACTATTTACACATGGCACACACGCGTTACGCATCATCGAATTCGTTCTTATCTTACACTTCGTATCGCCTTCTATCCTTCCTTGCAATCTGAGCGTACCTCGTCTCTCACTCGCTTTTCGCAGTACCAGCCGTTAATTCGCGACTGCTCAAACGCGACGTACGAAAGGCGACGAAACGCGGCAAATGAAAAGGGACGATTCATCTTATGGGTTTTTTACGCAACGCATAACTTTCACTCACATTGTCGAAAATAGATGTACGTATTTATACGTGGATATTCTCTGATTATTCATATCGGAACATATGAACATATTTATTTACCTTGTGCGGCCTGCTGCAATAGACAAATAGCCGTCGCGAATTAATGGCGGGTACTGTACGTGCACGTTCTCGCAGGTTCGCGCAATTAACATATCTCAGTTTGAAATATGTACAATAAATAAGATAAAATAATCAGTAGTGGGGCGTTTCCGGGCTGGATCGTATGACGCATCCGCGCGAAATGCCTCGCGGCGGACGCAATTCCCAGTTTCGCACTCTCCCTTATTATTGACATCACGGTTATTATTCGACCGGCATACGCCGGTATCACATTTTCTTACGGACGAGAACTTAGCAGATGGGACCCGACGTACCGATCGACATCCGTACGTCGCTCGTTGATCATCCTAGCGCGGAATCGGTACACGGTATATCGATACCTAAAAGTAGCTGGACCAGCCAAACAACGATATACTTGCGCCCGACGTCTCGAGGAGTTCTTTCTTTCACGAAAGGAAAACTTATTCCGCAATAGTCTCCTTTTCTTCCCTTTTGCGTATTCGCAAAGAGGACGCGAAAGAGGAGCGTAGACGCAGCGTGTAAAGGAGGAGGGTCCATGAGGCCTGTTTTCAGCCTCTTCTGAATTTCAGTCCAATGTATCAAAAACGTTCTATTGTTGTAAGAATGATTGAAATCAGACGATCTTAGCCGAAACGGGTGTATTTTGACGCGTGAACATGTTCCTCCTGTAACTCCAATTAATTCCATTTCTTTCATCAACGCTCTCATGTCACATACGTATCGTCTTCTCATATTTGTGTATGTGAACACAGTGAACGCGTGTTGGTTTTGTTGATGAAGAATATGTTGTATATTTAATAATTCTTACAATAATATAATATAACGTTTTTGACGCTTTAGAACAGGATTCAGAGGGGGTCGAAAACAGGCTTCACGGACTTTCCTCCTTTGATCGTGCACACGGTATGTCGTACAAATCGCCTGATTTGACGGGAACGTTTCGAAACAAAATAGGAATTACTTTTTCGACGTATCGTTACGAGCAGTAACATGACGAAAAATAATAAGATATCTATTTACGAATTTCTCTTATACATCTAAAAATATCGAAAACTATGTTCGAGAGACTGTTTTCTGACAGCTGTGAAGAGACTTGATATATATATAGTAATTTACTCGCGCTTATTACACAGAGATTCATGTTTACTTCATTTGTTGTACGCTCCTCATGCAACACGATGCCGAATACTATTAGTTTATTCCGCATCGGTATGCGTTTCATCGAGATGTCACGTTCATTTAATGGCACCGCGTGACGCCTCGAGAATTCATATATCTTTCCTGGCGAAATTAATTTACCAGTAAAAAAAATACGTCACTCTATGACGTGTACTAATCATTTAAAAAACGATACCGTCAGGGCTAATGACGGACGCATGCTTGAATAAAAATTGAACAAAATAAAATCTAATCTAACTTTAGAGCCTGCACAAATGACTTACTTTCTCCACAACACAGTCTGATTAATTGATCGCCGACTAAAAGTGTAAGTTATGCGACACTTATTTGGTGCGAATGTTTGCCGAACTGAGAGCTGAACGTACGAATAAGTAACGTAGACCTGATCGACCGAGATTCCGTATTGTCCCGAATATTTTATTATGCATTACATTATTTTTTCTACGATCAAAGAGACCAAATGGCTTTTATAAAACATAAATTGTACCTGTAGCGTAATGTAAAGATATACGAATTAATCCACCCTTCTTGTGAAAGACGTCTCAACAGTGTCTCATTGAGCAAGTGCCAACGCACTGAAATTAACAAATTGACAAATTGATAAATTCAAACTGAAATTAATTCGTCTAGTGTCTTGGAGACCTACGTTGGACTTTAAAGACTCTTGGAGCCAAGGTCGATCGATCCTGGGACCATAATGACATGCGTATGGTAGAACCTCGGAGGAATCGAGATCGTGTAGAGGAGACCAGGTCAAGTTCGTCTAAGAGTTATATATATATATATATATATATATATATTCACCTTACGTGTTAATTATGTATTTACTGTTAGAGAAATAATAACATAATCGCAAAATGTTCTTTTTCAAGGCATAAATGCTTTCCCCTGAGTTTTGTTAAAATCGAGAAAAATATTGCAATTAAGAAAGGGGAAAGTCTGATTTATACGTGTTCGAGTAAATTTCCGAGTCTCGAAATTTTGTGTTAATGCTATTTTTCTGCGATAATATGCAACTTGCCCTGGTACCAGAACATATATCTGACCACGTTGCAACATATTCGTGTTCCAATCACAACGATGAGTTGTCCGAAGAGTCCTGACATCGAAACTCTGAAAAAATTTAACATCTCGTCCCGGTCTCCCTTACTTCTGATCGGGGCCGTGTTGAAAGTACGGTAAACAAATCAGCTACGCGTATGGCTAACTAACTCGACTACGTTCGATTTTATTGTCTAGTCTCTTCAACGTCTCTTAAAAATACTATCGATCCGAAAGTAAAAATCACGACGCTCAACGAAAATCTAATTGACTCGGACGAAATCAACGCTCGCACGTCCGATCGTGTATTGCATCACGCGATACTAAAAAGCCAGAACGTCCTATTCTCTTGGCTAAGTTTTTCCCTCTTATTTTTTTTTCTCCGCTATATGTATCTATATCATAATCCACCTGGTGATTCGCGATTCTACCCGGAAGCGCGACGTTCGACGATCAAGTACGAATAACGAGCCGTCGCTCGATACGACTGGTCGCATTCGCGCTACGTCTTTAAAACTCCGTATTATATATTGCTTTCAGAGTAGCGCGCATCGATCTGACGGATTGAGCTCGATTTTTAACGAATTCACGGTTTATCCTACATCTATAACGTGAAGATTCGCGTACACAGGTTATTTCAGGATTACAAGTAAACGCTGTGTCGGCTTATAGAATCCGGACGAAACAGTTTTGATGAATGCGTTTTCAATAAGTCCGTAAACTAAACATTCTCGATATGTCCAACGATAAATTTAAGTGTTTCGCGACATTACATGTATCGTAAAGTGACCGACGTTTCAAAAAGTTTGAAGCACTGATAACTTTGTAACTGGAGAACTCCAAGGCTCTGACACAGATATTCTATTTAAACAAGGCATTCTATTCATTCCCAGAAATGCGAAAATCTCGATTTTACAATGGTCTTTATCTCAAGTAGCTACGTGTCCTACAAATGAAGATATCGGCAATCGTATTAAGATGTGCTTTAGATCACATCTCGGTGCCACTTCGGCTCTACTCGGCGCTATCAAAGCTCATGTCTTATTAGCACGTACTAAATCCCACCACGCGCGAATGAAACACGACTGGAACGTGACCTTGCCCCCACCAACGCGCGCCGTTAACTGACCATCGACCACGTGGTCGAGTGTCCACATGGTCGTTGATGCTATTCATTGTCTGCGTTCAGCAGAAAAAGCAGCTTACTAAGAGCTTTGCGTTCATAGCCTATAATTGGAATTCTTTTAGATCTTCTGTAGGTTTAGAAGAATGCACCAATCAGAAGTAACAATCACAAAGCGCTTATTAAGCTGCTTTTTCTGCTGAATGCAAGCATTGACTCAACTAGTGCCAGCTAGCGTCAGCGTTCGCAAGTACTAAGCGCGTCGATGTTTTGAAAGACCAAACTCGCGAGCGAATCGGCGTGAAAACGCGAATTAACAAGCAATTTTCTCGACGTGCAATCTCGGGCGCTTCGTGCTGTTCTTTTATCACCAATTTACGGGAAATTACGAGGATAATTATGAGGATAATTGCAGCCAAATTTCGCGATAAATTGAGGATCTCCCCACATGACGAGCATCCTCTCATTCGCGGCTAAACCGTTCTTCGCGAGTTCTTCGAAAGACATAACATATTAAGACTGTTTTGTCGATTTCGCGAGTTCTATATTAGCTACATTTAGTTGATTCTCTACTTATAATCCTGAAATAACCCGTGTACGGTCGATATATTCTATATTTCGACGTTTGTGGTGAGGACGCACGGCCCCGATACACCAATGACTGTAGACATATAAAGACCAAACCTTGAGTGAACTTTTTGTCGGAAGTCTACCTGAGCAGGTTCTTCGCGTGGTAAATGATTCTTTTGATCGAAATTAAAGGCGTCGGACAAATTGCTGGCAACACGTAAGGTCTCCAATGTGTTACAAATATTCTTAATATAACTTGTAATTATCATAAGTATTTATAACCCGGGGAAAAAATGATTATATATGAATTTTGTCTCTTTATGGTCATGTATAATCATACGTCATTATATATGTCCACATCCGAAAAATATTGTTGCACAAACACAATCGAAGTAAAGGCTTACGTTTGTGGAAGCCCGCGTGATATTGACGTTCAATTGAATAAAACTATTTTTTTCTTTCATCTGACAATATCTCTTTCATAAAGAGGCAAAACCCATACATATGTGGGTCATATAATTATATATGATTATATAATAATAATACATATATATGTGTATATATATACATATGTATATGTATGTATACAAAATCATTTTTTCTCGGGGATGAATGTCGTAGATCTCTTATTAAAATATAATTTCCCGTAAATTTTCGTAAATTAACAACCGACCGTTGTAGTTGCTACGTGCTTCTTGATATAGTAGAAAGGTACAAGTTTAGCACTCAACAATATTGACAAATTTCAATACACTTGTTCGGCCCTTATATATGTATAATCACTGTCGATATCCAGCTCCGTACACTCGTTATAGTACAACTGGCAAACGAACGGAAGAAGTCATGGCATTTATATGCGCTCTTTAAAAACTCATCACTTCCATCTTAAAGGCTTTACCCTGCATTTCCTTGTTGGCGATTCTACCCATAGGCGGTGCGGCATTGTTATCGTCGTCGCTGTTGACGTCCTCATCCTCCTCCGGAAAATCCTCGAGTCGGTCATGATATTCATCAAGCTGAAAATCAAGGATTTGATGTTAGATATTTATAATACCACGATAGATCCACTAAGAGAGAAACACGAGGCTACGATCTTGACTTTTGGAATGTGAAATATCGCAAATTCAACGTTGGAGATTCAAACAGTTGGTTTTGCCAAAAGCTGCGATTAAGAGAGAAGGTGAACAATTTCAAAATAATTTCCACTGCCAGCATGTACGCACGATCGTAGCTTCAGCGGGAATCTAAAGATTCGGCATCGTGAGTGAACTACATCTCGGATGAACCTTTAGCTGCTGATCTTCACCACAAAGTAGAAAGCAAGCATACTGATTCGGTGCACTGATATGGAACTAGATTTGTGTTATAACTTTCATAACAATCATTCGATACATATTTATTGCAATGAGTGGACGTTTCCCTATTTCAGTAACTCGTGAAGATTTAATTCTAATAATCTATTAATATTGTAAAAATCCCATTGATTTGGAGATATAGTATGAGACCGTATTAAACCGTGCAATATCTGACTGACAGAATGTTAATGCTTGAAACTTGAAGATAAACCACCTCGGGAAACGTAATTTTAGTTCAATGTATTACATATGGGAGTTATCGTTTTGCAGGTGAGATAATTATGCTTCGAAAACTTTCCGAGAAATTAATTATTGTCTAATGTTCTACACATGGATCATTTATGACATATGTTTGGAAGATCTAATCATGCATTCAATCCGTGATGATACTTGGGTCATGAACGTATTAATATGAGCGCATTAAGATCGATAGGATCGATCGTCGGCATGGTATGTTCTCGCGATTCAATCGTGCACTAATGAGCAGCGAGACCATACCCGATGAGCATTACTCGTCGCGCGGTAAAGAGAAGGGAAGGGTGGAAGTATTTAGAGCTGCGTATCGAGTAATCGCTTGATGCTCCGCGTCGTCCGCGCGACACATACGCTAAATGCCGTGTACGTGTGACGATGAATGCACTAGGAGTAACATTCAGGATGCATTCACAAAATGTTGATACTCGTCAGGATGCATTCACAAAATGTTGAACTCACGTGTAACGTAGCTACGGGGATATCGAGTAATCGACGTTACCACAGACAGAATGGATGCTTACCTACAACTGCAGATCGTACGTTCAAATGTGAGTTACCTAGATTGCACACGCGCTTAATTGGCTCACCATGAGAACAACAATTGTGTCATTAGAGATCACGGGGGTCGCGAACGGGATCGCGAGCGGCATCGCGAGCACACGAACAACGAATCCGTTTGATCCTTCGACTGTCGAATTGCCTCGCTTTTACGTTATACGCGATCGATTACAGTATCACAATGATCACGACATTTCACGACGGAGACTGATTATTCCGGAATCCGACGAGCGATTTCTTTTGACAGATCTAACAGTGAAGCGACGAAGCGTCCCGACTAAGTATATAATATATAAAACGCATCCAACGGGAAACGTTGGTGTTCGAAGGATTGATTGCGAAATGGCTGCGCTGCGATTAAGATCGTGAGATTCGTCAGCCCGTGGTGCGCTAATTAAGCCGCTACTTCGCTTAAGACGCTTATCACGAGGGAAAGGGTAATCTCTACTTGTCGGAAACAATTAATTCAGGGGGGAGGAGCAACGCTACTTGTTCGAAAAGACCATTATCCCAAGGGGTAAGGCAACGTGCGTTCGTTTATCTTTGGTACGCCGAGTTAGTGGGTCCTTCTGTCGCGGATCTTTACACATTCCATCAACGAACGACCACAAGCCACAACGCTATCTTCACGGACATTTCCCTCCCTTTACCACATATCTTCCAACAGCCACAGCTCAAGGTTTCTACATGTGGGTACATATCGACTATCGATACGTAGACGGGCGGGCTCTACTCACGTCGACGTCACCCATCATCTCCTTGGTGGACACAGTGGTATCGATACGTCGAATACTGCCTTGATGGATGTCAACGTCGAGTTTCACACATTGGAAGCGTCGCAGGAGGAAAACTATCGGGATCGGTGCGATTCCCGCGAATATGATGATAGCGGCAATACCCAATACCCAGCCGGGATAACTCGTCGGTACTGCCACACCCTGAAAGTAAGCGCGAAAGTGTGATTCACACGATATCACCGCGATCTTTGCGTAAGAATCCGAAGTCTGTTTCTTCGACTGAACTCAATTTCCGTTTGTTGTATATGTAAGTGATTCATTACACTAAGAGGAAAATAAAAAATATTTATTCGATGCGCTAATAATATTATATTAATATTTTTACACTGAGAAGAAAATTTCTTCAAATGAGAAAAGATGCATTTTCTGTAATCTATAGTTTTTCGTGAAAGCGGGTGTTTATTCGATTCAAATAAACGAATTTAGAGTAATATATTATTAGTACCATCGAATAAATATATATATTTTTTTAATATCTTTTCTCTTAGTGTAAGGTCTCTTACGATTTTCAATCTTAAGACCGTTCGACAATAGCGTCATGTATGCAGTAAGACGTAAGCAGTGAGCTAATTGACCAGTTAGATTCTTACAGTCCAAGAATAATCTACTCTGATTGATCAATTAGCTTACTTCTTACATCTTGCTGCATACTTATTGTAGGATGATCTTTACGCCTATGTGCAAACTCAATGTTGAAAATCACACAAATAACCTTAGTTACATTATTGAAGCGTTTACGCAGCCTGCTATATACGTCATTATAATTTTTCTTACCAATGACGCGTTCCATGCCGAATAAGTCGGTTTCTTGATGAACATAGAAGCGACACTAGACACGAGGATGCACACCATTATAATAGGAGCGAGAAATCGCCACGTGAATTGCCAGTAAGCTCCTGGTCTATGTCCAGTCATCTCTTCGATATCTTTCGTGAATCTGCATTGAACATTTAACATGATTAGTAGCTTGTCTCACAGTGGCAGTAGGAAAGAGTCATGACCTTTCCGACTTACTTTTCGTGGCCGTATACGAAAATTACAGAGATCATTTCCATGAGGGCTACCATGACAAGACCGATGGTACCGGCGAAACTATCGAACATTTTCAGCCAGTATTCGCCCGCACCGGTACAGAAAATGAGTCCCACGAAGAAACATACCGTACAGACAACTCCTAAAAATAGCAAATTAGACGATTGAAACGAATATTTCAATGATTGTCGTGACTGTCTGGTAAGTTTCCTTAACGCGTGAAGCATGCATCGTTAAACCTCGACGGAATCGCGTTAAAATGAACGTTATTTGAAATATGTGTCATTCAAACCAAATGCGTTTTGAAGGAAACAACATTTCTGGTTCTTATGACTCAAATTTGGTTCTTGTAACCAGAAATTCTGTTTCCTTCAACCAAAACGCATTTGGTTTGTTCACTGTCTAGTAAATACAGCCAAACTTTTTTCTGCATAATATCTGTTTCCAACAGACTCGTAAGTCAGTTGTCTATAGCGCTCACCTGTCATGTACTGTTTCTTTATTCTCTTGAAGAGATCGATGTCGAAGATCACGCACAGCATGCCTTCGAGTATTCCGATTTGAGAGCCCAGGCCAAGAGCGAGGAGCATTAAGAAAAAAATGCAGGACCAAAACGGCGCGCCCGGCAGCTCAACGATGGCCTGAGTAAACACGATGAAAGCCAACCCGGTACCTTCGGCGGCCTGAAAGCAATTGTTGCTTTATTATTTCACGATCACCGGCCCACACGAGTTCTCACGGGAGTATCGCATTGACTTACGTTGTCCAACTCCTCGCTGAGACTGCACGGCTTCGTGACATTCACCGAAGAGTTGGACATAAAGCTTTCGTAGTCCTCGAGGTTGAACGAGGTCAAGTTAGGGGGCAAGTATCCCTTATCCATCAGGATATCCCTCGCGCTAAAACGAAAGCGATTTAACGTATCTTCTGTGTCCCTCTGTTGTTCGTCATGCTAACGATTATTATATATATATCCCGTCCCTCTACGACTCGGTCCCTCCCTCTCCTAAATGCTCCACCGTCAACCTCTGACTTGAAACAATTTCATTAAATTAAGTCGTACCGCGATAAGGCAAACTCTCGTTTCAGCAATTGACTTCCGATAATTTTAATCCGAGGAAATCGCTAATCGCCGCATCAACGCCAATACCGCGACCAATTGTCGCGGATTAATTTAATTAAATTACATCACGGTGTGAATTATCGCAATTATTCGATAATACAGCTGATATAAAAGCGACGACGCATCTCGAGCAAGCGGTAACGTTTAGCGTGGCCGCTTATGGACACATCCCACAGCCGAGGACGATGCAGACACATCTATCGGTTTCTTTTTGTCTTTTAATCTGCCTTCTACTACCCTCTTCGCGCGATGGCGAATTTAGAAAACGATGGCCGCTCTAGCGGTCGCATTACCTGACGACGCACTTGTCCACGTTTGACATTGCCTTGAACCCCAAAATGGCGAAAATGACAACGCTCGCGTAAATGGCAGTAAACGCGTTGCACACGCTCACCAGGATCACGTCCCTCACGCAGTTGTTGTCGGGTGTGTTGTAGCTGCCGAACGCGATCAAGGAACCGAACGCCAGCCCGAAACTATAGAAGACCTGCGTCGCCGCGTCAAGCCAGACCATAGGCTCCAACAGTTTCTCGACCTTGAACGAACGAAACGAAATGTCGATTATTCGACGTCCGGTCTTTCGACTGGCCTTCGCCTCTTCCTCCCGATAAGACCAGCCTCGCGATCGTCACCTTTGGTGTGTACATGTGTGCCAGTCCTGCGCTCGCACCCCTCAACGTTATCCCGCGAACGAAGAAGATGGTCAGCACGACATACGGGAACATGGACGTAAAGTATACCACCTGAAAAAAGCGGGAGACGACGTTCAGCGGCGATTTTCACCAGGTTGTCGCGAGACCGATCCTCCCCGACGACGACACCTGTGAACTCACCTTGCCGGACGACTGTATCCCCTTCATGACGATGAAGAATACGACGACCCAGCTGAGCAAGAGGCAAAGTACTATCCACCATTTGAGACCCTGGCCGTCATCGATCGACGGAGCGGCGTCCAAGGTCGTCCTGTACCAAAAATACGCGGTCTCCGAACTTTTGACGCATTCCTCGATCGGTTTCCCGTTCGCTTCCGGGCACTTTGCCCACGGCAGTGATTGCTAAATTGCGTCGGAATATGCAAATAGATCATTAACGAGCTCTTAAACGAGCGTATCATTATAGCGTTATTATTCATCGGCTAAAGAAGATGGGTACTTACACCGAAATTGATGGTAACAGCCTGCGCGCGCGATCATCATCATTATAAAAATAACAATACGTATTAATATCGCGTATAAATTTTAATATATTTAAGCACATACACACGGAGAAAATATTCTACTCTGACGGAGTAAAAAATCATCACAAAATGTTCTAATGCTGAACCATATCGAAATTATGATTGAATTTATGACGTGTGTTGTAAACTTTTAGTATATCATGAGTACACCTCACTAAAGATTACAACATTACTACATACTTAATTACAACATACAATAATAGCCATAATAATTAGCCATCATAATTCCGCTGTGAACCAGCATTATACAATTTTCACCACATTTCCTCCGTATAGAGCTTTCGTTTATTCCGTACAATCGTAAGCGACGACTTTCATCATTGATTTAAGTCTAAGTTTAAATAGAACGAAGCTAAAATAGAACGAGGCGAAAAAGTCGCTCGAAACATTTCAACGGATACGATTACGACGGTGTCAATCGATGTTACGTACTTTATCGATCTGCTTACCCTTAACGAGTTGAAGAGGTAGTAGAAGCACCAGGTAATAATGACGTTGTAGTAAAGCGCAACGAAAAAAGTGACTATACACGACGCAATTCCTATGCCGCCCAACCAAGGGTGTATAGTGTTCCAAACGCCCAGGGCGCCCTGTCGCATACGTTGCCCGAGGCCCAGCTCGATCAGAAAGAGGGGCACACCCTCCAGAATGAGCATCACGAAGAAAGGGATGAGGAAGGCACCTAAAATATACAAGGCGCGAGTGTCGTTTTAGAGGAATTTTAATCCAGAATTACGATACAGACGACGTGGAGTATAAATAAAACGAAATCGCCACAGAAAGGCTGAAGATATAATTAATTACGCGCATATTCAAGGTATATTTAATTACATGTATATAGGGTGGTTCCTTTCCCCCTCTCTTTCTCCCTCCCTCTCTGTCAAGCTCTTGTGACAGACGCGCTTCGCTTTTTGCGCGTCCGTTTCCTACCCCTGACAAAACCTTCCCTATCTCTCTCCCTTTCCCTTTAGATGTCTAGTTTCGCGGTCGTAGTAGCTGGAGCGCCTTGTATTGATCGAGCGACCTAAGTCCTAACCCGTTCAGCTACTCTACCTCTTTGCCGCTTTTTTCGACACATTCGCACACAGTGACCGGAACCGAAGCGAAAATCGCGGACTAAGGAACTTCAACGTCCGACCCTTCTCTATATCGAGCGAATCGTGATGAAGTCGTATAAAAACTGCTGCGATAGCGTGCTTTTAATTGCCTGAGTCGATCTGAGTTATATCCGATTACAGATAACCATAAAAGTTTCGATGACGATCCTTAGCAGTGACGATAACAAACATCATCAACGGGAGGTGACAGAGTGATGAAGGAAATACACACACGGAGAAATTGAAAACGGCACGAAAATATCGATTGCGATCCCTGCGTGTCGTCGTGGACTCGCGACGCACATCTCGTTCAACCTATTAAAGCGGCTCGCGGACTCCTCGTTTACCGCCGCTATTACGTTAGAAATCCGCGAAGGGCGGCAGATGTTAGACCGTCGGTCGCGTGCTTTCCGTTACATAGTGGATCGATCGATAGGCGTTCGGCGACGCGGCGCTCCGCGTCTCGGCGCGGCACAGCGCGAAGCGACGCGACGCAACGAGGAAATTTCCATTGAAAGCCGAGGCTTTGGCTCGTTCGGCCCAAAGCCGTGTGTGTCCGCGTGGGGTAAAAAATCAAACGGGAGGGGTCTCAATTGTCCACAGTAGCGACCCACAGGCGCCCAATTTCCCACCGGAGGCAATCTTTCGAGAGAGCGCGTTCTCCCTCATTTTTGTAGATTTTATTGAGAACTCAACTCGCGGATCAAAACAGCGAGGCTTTTCTCATCCTCGTCACGTTCCAAAGAAAGAACGTAAATGGTTTTCGGCAAGGTTAACCGTCACGCTAAACACCGAATCGATATAGAGACCACCCTCGCATCGCGGGGCGATTTAAAGATAAGCACGTTTGCGTGTGTCTGCGTCTAAAATTGAATCCGCCAAGATTACATCGATTTTTAATTTTAGATCCCGGCGTATCCTCCGCAGATGGAAAGCGCCCGTACCTTTAGGCGAACGTGTAACCTACGTATAACCTACGGCAATGAGGTGGGCGTTCGAGCGGTATATCTGGTAACGGAAGCTCGATCTGCGCAGTTGGTGGATGATGGCAACCGATATGATTACGACGTGCATAAACTTCGACGTAATAATCACGCGAGGACCCACCGTGTAGTTCCCGTGACCTACTACCTGCGTCTCGCGAAAATAGATATGTGTCGGACGGCGTGTCTGAAACCGCTCGTTCGCTCTCGTGATTGATAAGAGAACGGCCGCTCTTCTCCTCTTTCTCTCTTCGTAATTCGACGCTCCTAAAATGACTCAAGGTACGGGAAAGAGAGAGAGAGTTTCACGGTCGTGGGTGGTTTTCCATCGGGAAAGTTTAATGGCGAAAAGCCTGTCTAGCTTGAGAGATGTATATGCCCGTGTTGTATACGCGCGTGCCCATGTATCATGTGGCCCCAAACAAAGTGCCACGTTGATGTGCGTACACGCCTCTAGTGTTATTCGCTCGGTTGGTCGACCTTCCACGTCAAGTTCGATTAAATCACGCGTAACCTTGAACTATCTTGATCTCGATGAATAACAGATCTCCCTTCCGTATTGATTTCGCGTCTTAATTTATTTCAATTTATTTGTTTTTTTCCCGCAATTGAGCTGAGTGCTCGCCGGGCTGGACAACACATTAGCGATACTCAGGAGCCGAGAATATCGCGCGAGTACGCGTTGCAAGATAAACGTATCTTGTTGAGACATCGTCGAAGTCCCAATAACTTGATCGATAAGTTTGCACGGATCCTGATGTGGATGATATTTTTCACAGCGTTAACTTTTTGCACGAACGACGCGAGAATAATATCAAACACGTTTTTCCAAGGGGAGGCTTAATAACTTCTACTTATAGCAAGAAAAAGAGTCTACGAGGATTGTAGCCAGGTATACCTCCCGGTATATGCCTAGTACTTTTCCACGCAAAACATATTGTGGCGCGCTTGCGACCAGACCCTTTCAGCGTGTGATATTGTTTACAAAAAACATAAATTAACGAATCAACCTTAAGAGCTAGTTAACGATTGATCAATTTTTATTCACCGGATAGAGGTTAGAGATAATTGTCTCATTTTTGATTCCATCGACTATCACTCTCTTCTTACCGTTCCTCTCCGATAACATATAGAACGATCGCGACTTAGAAATGAAAGTGGGTCAAACAGACTCGAGCGGAAGAGCAGGATTAATGAAAATTAAATGAATCGTGCAAAGCCAAACCATTCGTCGTCGCATATGTTAAAATGAGCCGTCAAGCGTGATCTGGCAAATTAATATTAATTTTTCCATCCGCTACACCGGTAGTCTCGGTGACGGTTCTTTGCTGCTCACATTAATCATCGAAATTACACGATAGAAAAGTGTGTGCCTTTAAGGACGCGAATGCGCGGAAGATTTCGTAGCAGTTATATTTAACGACGGCGTGGGACTGTGGGATACCTGAAAATAGTCGTCGACCATTATAGTTAGCCGCGTGCTATACTGGCCTCCACTGCCCTCGTATCGAGCAACCTTGTCCCTGCTCTTCTTCGCTTTACGTCCGACGCCGTAAAGGCTGACGCCGACTGTAAGTTGCAAGATTATTTCCAATGTTGCACATAACTTTATGGCAACAAGTTCATACGTTGGCGTGCGTCAACACTGTGTTACACAGTCAAAAAGGTAAACAATAGGATCGTAAAAAATTCCGAGATAAGGACGCTTTACATTCTTCGAAATCCAAAACGTTCGAATCTACGGAGGGCACTGCCGGATTTCTGAGCGGATCGCGCAACGCGAGACACCTTGAAAATAGTTGTGTCTCGAATTAGAGTGCATACTTGGAACTGCGAAACATTTGGAAATATTTCAAAGTACGTGTACAAATTTGTTAATTAATTCTAAGTACACGATCCATTCGTCCCGAACCGGATGGGCAGAAATAAAAGGCGACAACTGAGCAAAAACTGAGTGATCTCGAGAGAGGGAAACTTGTTACTTCGCGAAAAGGCTTTCCATCGAATCCTTCTGAGTTGACTTATTTTTTTTTGAGATTGGACAAATATAATCTTGCAAGTAGTATAGGCATGATCGCGCTATTTTATAACATGTATACGAGAAAAAAAAAGACTTTTTGTCTCGACTCAGCGTCAGCGTGGACGCTGTTGTAAGGGAATCGCCGATGTGTTCCTCGGATCTGACAATATATATATATATATATATATGTGTGTGTGTGTGTGTGTGTGTGTGTACATTATATACGTGTCCATACGTGAGAAACAGGAGTTTACCTAGCTACTCACTGACACGCACGTAGTTCAAGAACATCCCGAGATGTCACTACCTGCGTGAAGGTCGCAAAAATAAAAACACGCGGTTTTTCGATATATTACACGGGCGAGGTATAACGTCACTGCAATAACGCGTATAAATAATAACGTGTCGCCGCGCAATTTCTTTTTGTGTGCCATGACATCTCTCATGTGGTAAATGTTAATCGATCGCGAAATTTTCTCGCGTAACCCGTATTCTCGTGTGGCATAAATTACTCCTTACATTAATATTTACACTTCCGCCATGTGCGACCACATCGCGGCACGTACCGCAATCGAATCAGTGAAGATACTCACCACCTCCGTTCTGTTGGCACAGGTAAGGAAACCTCCAGATATTTCCCAGACCCACGCTGTATCCGATAATACTGAGAAAGAATTGCATTTTGCCGCTCCACGCCGCTCTGTTCTCCTCCTTCGCCTCCTGCTGGGTGTTAACGACATTCTGATTTCCTGTCACGATCGTTACGCTCTGCCCGGTTTGGCGGTCGTCGTTCAAGGGAGCCAACTCGTGCCCGTTTCTCGCGGTCTCAGACCTGACTACCATCCTCTCGGGGGTCTCGATTGATACACGTGGAATCGATCACCCTGATGACCGGTGGCTGGTGTAACGTAATCGAGAGATCCCCACTGCGCCCTTCGGCCCCGTTCGTGGAGGGTGTACGCGTGACGACCTCACGTGCCGTTTATCCTTCACCTTTCGATGATTTTCCCTCCGGTGTCCACACGCTCCTGCTGACACGTTCCTCTCACCTCTCTTCCGTCAATCCTTCTGAATTATTCCATACGATCCGACGGAAACACGTGTATCGTATGATGTATCTTCACGAGGTCTCTTCACTGGGTATTATCACCACCACCACCACTATCGAATCACCTGAACCACCACCACTACTACTACCACTTACCAACGCCGCGACGCCTCGCCGATTTCAACGAAAGACAGTCGCCGGTGGCGAACAGCAGTCGTTGTACAACAACAACAGCGATAACAATAACGGTCAACAACAAATAACAATAACAGTGGCAACGGCGATTATCTTTATTTATTTAATCGTAATATCAACGTTCGCGCGCCTCTCTCGGGTCTGTAGGAGAACACCCGAGGATCGATCCTTCGCGACCGACGACGATCTGGCTGCTGGCGCGGTCGGTGCAAGTGTAAACTCCTCGGTGAGCGAAAAGTAGCCTCTATACGTCCGAGTCCCGTTCGTCTTCTATCGATGCGAGCGTGTCCCGGCGACGGTGCTTCTTATTGACTGTTTGCGGACGCATAGAAGTGGGCCGCGGCTGGATGGAAAGGGCGCGAGGTGTGAAAGGATACGTCATAGGATAGGCTAGGACCTGTTCGTGAGAAGGTGTGGGTGGTACGCTGGCAGGTGACCCAGTAAAAATTGAGCGTTGATACGACGTTACGAAAGGAATCCTCGACCTCCCCGCGTCACGTGATTAGTCCTTATTATTATCGAAGGATACCGACGTCCAACGCTGAGGAATGATGCGTCATCCGCTGTCGGCTTTGACACTGGAAGATACGACGCGGGGGTGCACCTTGCGTTTGGAAGAGATTCGTACAGCCGTGTGCGCGAAAGGGCGAATGAAAGTACGCGCGTCGTTAAAAGTTACCGTCGGGACGAAATATCGATCGATCCTCCGTGCGGAAGCGAGACCTCCGAATGAGGGAAAGAGTTGGACTGAGAGGAGGAGAGTTAGAGAGGGACGACAGACAGAGAGAAAGTGAGAGAGTGAGAGAGATCGAAAGATAGAGAGGGTGCCGAAAAGACTGATTCCTGGCTTCGGGTGCGGGGGTTCGATGTTCGATATCTAAAATAGCTCAATTTGTTTACGATATTCTCGTCAACTTCGAGAGTCAAGGATAGCAGTGGTCTCTCTCCAGCCTCATAGGTCGAATTCCTTCGCTGTTGCTCGCAAATAGAGTATTAATCGGGAGTCACGAGTCCAGCATCGTACTTGATCCCCCTCGATTCGTATTTGCCCGTGAGGAAGACGTGGTCGCGCTCTTCGTTGTCGTCGTCGTTACCTCCGTCTCGATTTCAGGGACGACGTCGAAGGATTCACTGCAGACCAGTCGATTACTTATACTCAGTAGTCTTCGGACGAGTCGGGCTGATGTCGCAGTGGACGCCTGTGTGTCGACGAAACTCGAGATTCGCGGAGCATTTGGTACCCATGTATAATACCACTCTTCACTGGCGTGTCGAGTACTCGGGCTTTGTACTTAGCTTCGTGTACCTCGTCGGCACGTAGTGAAACGAGGTCTCGTTGGCGCGAGAAGCTCAGACGACGGATGCGTGAAATTTTTGCAATGGGTGTCTCGTAGCTGGGGAATAATGCGACTCGTTCGAACGTCGATATCGGACTGAACCGTCGCTACTGCGCGACGACGTGCGCGAGGGAACCTACGGAACGGGAACCTCTGGAGCGACGTCGACGAAGGTTCGTTCTACCCGTGGTCTGGTCCCTCGATTGGCCGAGGTAATTGTTCGCGTACGCGCATACGCCGGCTGGCCGACCCTTTTCAAACGGCGGCGAGCCTCGATGCGCGCGCGCAAGACGGAGGGAGAGAGAGAGAGGCCGTTGTTATTTTATTGTATTACACAACCGTCCGAGATATTGCGCTGTGATTTTCTCCTTCCGAGAAAATATGCGAACTTCGGGTAGCGGCCGGGATAATTCTCGGCAATTTTTGGAGATATTCATTGGATAACTCCGCGAATGTGGACTCCGAAGAAATTCTGAACGAAGGATTCTCCGTAGATTACGCTTTCGAATTGTTAGAATATTATTCTTTAAAGTTGCGTTTGAAAATACATACAGTGTGTACACTATTAGACACCAGCTATACTGAAACCACTCAGGTTGCATTCGGAAACATCACTTTTGGTGCATTTTTGCGTATACAATGTGCGTTTCTGAACGCAACCTATATTGCATGAGATGGAAAAATTGATTCTAAACCGATGAAAATTAGCGGATCGGTAGGTTCTTGGTTATTTTTGAAGAAGCTCACTGATTCACACTGATGTCAGCGCGTTGGCTCATGTTTGCTCGTTGAGTCACTTGGCAAATTCACATTGATGAAAATTATTAGGTATAATCTCAGTCAATCCCATCATTATCAATCGTCGACAGTTTGCACGATAATTCCGCCCTATCGCGAGCTTTTCCTCAGCAAGGGACGCGTACAGTATGAATTTCGAGATCAATTCAGCAGCTCACGTGATAAGTTTTCACCGATACACGACGTACGTTCTATAATTGTTTCGTCCATGCACTCTCTCATTGACCTTCTCACATCGGCTGGATGAAAGTGTTTTTTTTCCGCCTTTGCTTACGTACGTGGTGACGCGCGTTCTGATATTGCCGGTTTGAACTTCGCGGCCTGCTCTGGGGTGGCGAGAGCGGTTTAAACTGACAAACCGGCGTCATCGATCGGATTGTTGTTCCACGGGGGTAGAATAAGTCAGGCGGCTAGACGGCCGCTTCCCACGCGTCACCGTTTGCGTCGTTATCACTCCGATCGAAAGATTCTCTCCGGCATCCTTGTGGCCGTTTAGACAGGATCTCAACCCTCATCCCAGCCACTTCGCGGCTCTCAATCGAGTAGAGGAGCAATTCTTGCCGGGATTATCGCTTGGCGAAAATCCTTCGCGAACTTAGGTCGAAGTATCTCGGATCAGTCGAAGAGAGAGCGAACGAATAAACAAAATGAGGTGAATTTTTACCCACCAAAAACGTATAACGAATAACGTTGAATGAACTTGATTAATCTTGACATCGTGTTCCATTTAAAACTTCGCCACTCTTACACGTCGTACTTTCTGTGTATTTCATCTGTGTGTCTCATTTTTAAGTATGATATATATTACCCCATTTCGCCTTCTCCTTATTTCCTCTCAAGATTCTTGGCAAGCCCATATCGTCGTCGGTATAAGAGGGTTGCGATCACTCTATGACGTCATTCGACGCTATAGTTACTATCTCTAGAAGACGTAACGTTTCGTGGGATCTGGCTGAATGTGCTATATACATATATATGTACGCATTCATATACGGGAACGGGTCAGTCAGTAGCTTCATCGAGTTACGTAACTAGTCGCGTAACCTTTTGACCTTGTTCTCGAGTTTCTCACTAACCGTCGCTCGTAAATCACCGTTTACCGGATTTGCATCGAATGGTATTCGCGGATATACTCATATTTGTGTCAGACGATCTGCGACGGTGCATCTCGCAATGATCTTAACAAGGTAACGTGCCAAATAAACTTTGACCTCAAACGTAGTACGTGCTCTGGTAAAATCGTCTTTAGCGAACGTGGTATGTGACGAAAATTCCTAATCAATTTAAATTTCCTGATTATTATACATTGACAAGTTGTATTCTCTGTTTGTATTTTCTGCGATGATGTTTTGAAAAATTTATTTAACTACGCTGTAACATTAAGTGCAACATTGGCGGCAAGGTTGTATCATCTATCTTTCTTCTTCACCGATACACCTATGTTAATCATGGCACGCCGATACCACCCATAGTGATTGCATAATATCTCGCAAGTGGAAGCAATCTTACGAGTACAAATCAGTTCGGACAGTTCATCGACCGTTGTATCAACCGAAAGCTATATTGAGATGTCTCCTCTGAATTTATAACTCGAATCGCGTCAAAGTAATGTATTACGTGGTAATTTAAAATTTTTATGCGTCGATACGTATAATAATAATTCCAAGCTCCGTCAAGCCTTTCGCGAAGTAGTTCATAATTTTATATTCATAAGTCATTTCAACGCGACTTATTGTGCGCATGCATGCCGTACAAGATACGTAAATGTTTCTCCTAATAATTTGTTCTGGGGATATTTATAGTAATTGTGTTATATAAGGTCTTTAACTCTATATTTACCGTGCGGCGTTGTCACAGATAATTCCAATTCTCGATAGGAAAAAAAGGCTCTCCGAAACGGCGTTATGCAATACGTAACAACGCATGCATGCAATGAGCAACCGTCCTTGTACAATGCATCGTGTTAAATGCGACTGAGCGACGCACGGAAAATACGCGTAATCCTTCTACTTATTTTTGTGCCGTTTGAGCTCTTCATTTTCATCAGTACATTAAAAATATGTTAGAGGCGAAACTCTGTGATGGATGAATCGTTGATCCATCTATGTACAGTGTGAAGATGTGACATGTGGCTGCGCCTTCACTACCTTCCTAACGTCGCACACGGAAGTGGTTATACAAGTCCAGATAATCACCCCGTCTTTACAATTCCCGCTCGGCTTCTTTCTTCTCGTTGCTCTAAAGAATTTTTTTTACCTATTATTCAGGCACCATACATCTCTCCCTCTCGGGGAACAATCGCGAATTGTGCCGAACCCTGAGTGCCCAGAGACGCATTCGTTGGGGTTCTCACGACGAATTATTCGGAATCGTTTGGTACTGATCTCATCGTGTCTTAAATTAATTTCGAAAAATTCGGCGTAAGGCATAAATAGTTGTTCATCGGAAAAATTGTTCATGGTATATAATTCCGTCGTGATGAGAAGAATATCTATTTGCGTATTATTATTATTATTATTATTTTGCTATTATTGAGTCAACAACTGTGTCAAGGATATATTAGCGCGAGGTGTATCGAAAATAAATCAATTTATTTAATAATCAATGTACCGTAGACGAAACCATTATCACTGACTAATACTGACCACAGAATATTCACTTCGCATGCGGCAACATTTATCATGATGTTACCACAAAGTGTAACAGCTTACGAGCGCAAGTTCCGCCGTCCATTCGATCATCTGCCATAAACATTTATCTCGAACGCACATGAATAATACTCGTAAATAAGCGATTTCTTATGTAAGCTAATTCGTAAGAATAAACTCTATCTTATAAGCAATTCTATTTCTAAGTTTCTCTCGGCAGCCGGCTTTATTTTCGCACATACCGCAAAAGTAGCCTTTATTTATCTCGAACTATAAATAAGCGATTTGGTACGTAGCGGATACGGGAAATCAATTTCCGCTCTGACGAGGAATCGGCACCTCTCGGCTGGATTATTAATTGTCGCGAATTCGCAACATTTATTTCATCTCTTTACCTTGGCTAAAGCGCGACGTATATCCTCGCTTGTCTCGGTACGTACGCGCCATGGCAAGTAATTCGATGCACTGTCATATTGGTCAGTGTAAGTGGACGCTTACCATAGATTCCCTCCCATAGACGGCCTAACGTCACATCCTCATTCAGGAACTTATTAATAATGAGACATTGTTTACGAGCCATCAATGTTGATCCTTCTACACCGTGGAAATCGCTATTAAGGACAATGTAAATTCTCACAAGGGTGCACATGCAGTTCCGGTCGCAGCGACCATACATTTCAGCTATCGAACTTAATTTATTTGCTACGCGATATTCATCTTCCGACGATGGTTATAAATAATATGTTTATACACAAATGATGCGGTTATTATGCTCGATAAACGATATTACGATACTTTTTTCTCTGTAAAATAAGAAATTAGAAGTGAATTATTTTATAAAGGCTCCGTTTCTTTTTTCTTTATTCGACTTTGCAATAGTTGGTACCTGTCGGAGAAATATCACAATGTTATAAACAAACGTTCAGTGGTATTAACACGTTGAGAATACATTATACATTTCATATACTTACCCGGTGTTTCACTTAGAATCCAATCGATATAACTGCTGACTCGCGTATTGACTCCTGGTTTATTATTGCCGCAAGCAATCCCGAAACTAATGATACCTACAAGAACTTCTCGCTTCGTCGAAGGATTCTGCCAAAGGACTGGACCACCACTGTCAAACTACGATAAAATGTAGCAAAATATCATACTTTAATGAAGAGATTATGTGTTATAAATATAAGGAGGATTATAAAAAGCCGCAGTCCGATCCAAAATATTTGATTCACTGCGATTTGGTCGATTCATTGAACATAAACTCTTCGATTAGCTGGGAGAAACTGCGATTCGAAAATCACGATTCCATAATGATTTCATAAAAATTTTCTACGAATAATGTTACCTGACAGGCATCTTTTTCCTCTCCATAAGTGCACATCTGGTTAAATGTTATGTTTTCATAAGTTCGACGACAATCTCGATTCGTGATCACGCTCAACATAACTTTTTGCAAAGTGTTTGATTTCATACCTCCGAATTCCACTGTCCCCCAACCTATGTTGTTAAATTGAAAACAATTTATTGTTTGTTCAATTAACATAAAATAAGTAACCAAGAAAGTTCATTAGTTCTAAATAAATCATAATTTAGGAGAAAAATATGCTCGATGCTACGTAAATGTATTCACCCAACAAGTCCACATAACTTCCCACGAAAGAATCCCACCGATGTTGAAATGGGAGACAAGCCGGTCCAACTTCTTCGCTAAAGTTTATAGTAGAATTTACTGTTAGTATAGCTATATCATTTTCCAGCGATGAACTGTTGTAAAGAGGATGTATTTTAAAGTCAGCTACTGTGTAGATTACCGAAGCATTTGTTTCTACACCTGAAAATATTGACAGAATTTCGCGATGTATTATGTGAAAATTATTTCCTCGAACAAAATGCACAAGTATNTATATATATATATATATATATGTATATTCTTATATGAAGTTCTTTATTTCTTCAATATAAAGTATATTTTTTACCCGTAGTAAGATCGTGGTCTCCTACGAGTACTCCCACATCTTCGCTTACGTTTCTATCGGCCACGCAATGTGCGGCAGTTAATACTTGTTTCGGAGACACGATTGATCCTCCACAATATACTTCTCTTCTTTTACGATCGACAAGACCAGCCATCATAGGATATTCGTTCACGCCAGTTTCGTTGCCTCCCACTATCTTCGTCTGTAACGAACAATTAATACCAAAATGAAAAATTTCAGTGAAATTTCTACATGCGCGCACACGTAGCACGAATTGTTTACGAGTCGATTTTAATTAGCGCTTACCGGCTTTTTCCATCCACACTTGCAACTCAAATCCTGATCATCTTCGACCGCTTGTAGTTCACACAGAAATTTGACTCCGGACGACCAAAACGAGGTCGATAATTCAATGGTCATGAATTTTCCAGTCGATTCTATACTGAATGGGTCACTGCCGCAATAAGAGAGAGCCACGGATTTATTCACGTGTATAGTCAATCTTTCAAAGATGCAACTAGGGCTCTGGGAAAAATATTTCGGATATTACCGCAAAAATTCTTTAATTTTAATTAATAGCAAACGATACGTTCTAGTTTTGCTTTGTCAACTTAAAGCACAGTCAAGAAATCAAATTGTGCACAGTGGACACAATACAGAGCACAAATTAAAAAGTATAGTGAATGTAAATGAAGACTACAAGTATTTTTTAATAACATTTTATCTTTTAATAATTACAAATCTTACCTGCGGAATGTCGAAAATCTTGCATGTCAGTTTTACTCGATAATCACTCTCCGCGATCCACCTGCAAGACTGTCGACCTTTGGAAACGTTAGGGTAGTCGGGATTGTACACGTAATAGATAGTACCGATGTTTAAGCGCTGAGAATAGTTGCAATCTTTTTGGAAGAATGCGCTTGACAGTATAAAACATAGCGACAGCCTCAGCGCGAATAGTAAAACTATAAAAGAATAGTTGTTACCCCAATTATTGTAAGTAGTCTTACGTCATCAATTCTATTTGATTATTATTTTTATTTCATGTAAATAGATGGATACTTTTATCGGAATATTTGTTCGGAATAATCGATGAAATGAGATTTTTGTTTTCGTGTCATTGTGGAATCGATTGGAATAACTTGGGAAAATCCATTCGCATTTATGAAGAACCGCATTGCGGTTGTCATCGCATACCGCAAGCCTCCACAAATGTATCGAGACATGCTATAAGACCGAGATAGGCTTAGGCTTGTCGAATCAATATATGAATTTGTTTCGTCAATGTTGAATCAAAGCTGCATATAAATCGTGCAAATTAAAATTTTGGATTTAGCGGAAATAGTCGACATGCCTGACAGAGTAATAATATGGATTATTATTATTATAGAAAAATATCCCCAAAAAAGTCGGTATACAAAACATGTCTTCCCACGATATAATTTTTTAGGCAATTAAATGGAAAACATGAGTGTTATTTTTATAAGCGGCTCAATGTCTTCACGTTTATAAATCGGATATAAATGAGGGAAAATATTTATTATCATAATTACACTTTATTAATAATATTTGTTAAAAATAGCTACTCATATCTCTTCTCAGTTTATAATACCTTTCTGCCCCACGTTGAATGAACTTGAATGAAATGTACACGTTTCTATATATATATGCAGCCTTTCATTGATTCGTGCGACGACGATCGTTCTCGTTAGTTGATTGAATGCCAAGCGGAACAGAAAATAGAATAAATGAGAGACTGCTTGATATAAAATCGCAGTGAAAAGGGAAGAGTCATTTAAAGACTTCAGACGCAATTCTATAAATGTTAATGTAAAAATGTTGTTTATTGTAAAAATTCTTGCTTTTTTCTTTTGTTTAAATTATTAAGGATGTCTAGAATGGGTCAAAACAATTGGCGGTTATGTGTACTTTTATATTATAGTTATTATAATAATTATTTAATTATAAGCATTTATGCATTTACAATTGTACGCTTAGATTTTTACCGGCACTGCTCCTATATGTACAGAACAGATACAGAACGGAAACTATCGCGAGTTTACTGTTAAGTTCCATGTTGCTCCATCTAGCGATGTTCTCTAGTAGCTATTCGTTGCTTGTTACCATGGCGATTAGATCATGGTACTGTACATAATATAAACAATTTTTTGACATTTTAGAGCTTATTAAGCAGGAATAAAAGTGGTGCTATTGATATAAAAGGAAGGGTGCGAAAGAGGAAGAAGAAGAAACAGATCTGAAAATGTTCGTGCAAATAATGTTAGATCACATGCAAATAGTTTTTTAAGATATCACTATATTGTTGTTTGTATTACGTATTTTATCAGCAATGCCAAATCGTGATGATAGCACTGATAAGCGTGCTAAGGGAAAGGTAAATATCATCAAGATTTAATTTTCTTTATAATTTCCAATTCGCACAACTTGCATCTTATTTACTATTATAATTTTTGTTGCAATTATAGAGTAGCAGTCGTAGGAATGTAGAAAAAGACCTGGAGCCAGTACACAAACCGCTATATCGTCATAGACGAGTTCATAAGGTAAAACATAATTCAAGGAATAATGATGCGTCTGGAGAATTGACAGGTAGAAATGGAAATAACGATAGTGCTGTGTTACCTAAGAAAAATAGCAAACGTTGTATCCAAAAAGAGATCGATAAATTAGTTGAAGAAAATAGGATATTAACAATGAGGCTTGAGGGCTCTGATATAGATCCTGGTAAGTTTCAACAAGTAACATAATTTTTATACATGTTTACAAAATACTGAACAGTATTCTGTGATAAATCTTAGAAATTTTTGCGGAGTTGAAGGAAAAAGATATTTTGATGTCAAGAATCTGCAATAAGTATCACAAATTATTGAAGGATCGCGAGGAACTTCAACAAGAATGCGAGAAGTTAAATGTACTGTTGGCAGAACGCGAAGCAGAATACCGTCAACTGCATGTACATCATAAAGAATTTATAGAAGCTCTACAAAAAGCAGAGAAAACAAAGGTCAATCTTCTAACGTTCAATCAAAGATTCAAATCTGAAAACGTTCAGTTAAATGAGGATGTACTGCTTCTTAAGAACGTGATATATCGATTGAACGCAGAATTAGAAAGATATCAGGATAAACTGAGGGAATGTGGGGAGAGTGTTGCAATTAAAGATATCAAGGATATATTAGACTCCAAGGGACAAGCTAACGACATTAATAAGGTATTGGAGTCATGGGGTTCTGTGAATATTCATGTATTAGGCCCGCTTTTAGATGCTTATCAAGAAAGCCTGTCAGAGAAACAGGAACTTATAAATAAATATGAGGAAGACATTGCGAATTTTGGCGTTAGATGTAAGGAAGTTGTTGCGGAGAACGAATCTATGCAAAGCGAAATGGATAAGCTCAGATCGAAGGTATTACAAACGTAGAAAATTGTCGTGTTCTTTACAAATTATTGTAGTAAAAGTTTTCCAGTGTACCAGATATGCAGACGAGATCAAGATGATATCTGAGGACGCTAACCTGCTCAAGGAACTGAATGAATGTTACACAAAACAGACTGCTCACCAAAAGCAAAAAATTCATGAGATTCATTCTCTGTACGAGCAAAAGGTGGAAGCGATGTCGTTCGACAATAATAGGCTTCACGAGGAATGTCTCGCTTCCAAGACCGAGCTAAGTAATCTCCAAGGGAAATATGATGTTCTTCACAAAGAGTATGAAAAGCTACAAAGTGACAATACGAAAACGATGCCTATCGATGTCCATAATGCTGCCGTCGAAGAATGCAAAGAACTGTTTGAGAAACTGAAACGTCAATACGAGACTGAGAAGGAGAAGCTGTCCGCTCGTATTAAAGAATTGGAGGAACTGCATTGTCAGAATAAAACGCAACTGGACGTAGTTACGATGGAGAGAAATCAATTGAAAGTGTCGAATAAAAATTTTGAGAAAAATTTAAAGTAAGTGTTATCGATCTATCACGAATCTCAAATGTGAGCATGAGAATTTAATCAACATAAGACTTACTTACACATAAATCATTTAAATTTCAGACGAATGCAACGGAAATTGGAGCATTTCCAGAAGATCGCGCATTCCGTGCAAGTGTCCCGTGATTCTTTTAAGAAACAATTAAAGAAAACCACTATGTACTGCGAGGAATTGTTTAGCGAATACGAGAGGACGGTCGCCGAGCGGGATAAGCTGGTTTCTCTTTTGCATGAAACAGAAAACGAAAATGCAAGTATTCACTTTCTCGGCGACACTATCACTCAACGAATGGATCACTTGAAGAAGCAATTAAAAGTATGTAATACGATGTATATATATATATATATTTCTTTATTATCAATTTTTTTAAATTCTCAAGTAAATATTATCACATAACCGTCCTCAGGTCGTACACGAGGGTACTAAGCAGCAATTAGAGATGGCGGAGAAAAATATGAAAGTGCAACAGCTCGGAGTGCATCGGATGAAAGACGAATATCACCGAGAACTGCAACGTCTCAAGCATTTGGTGAAGCAAAAGGAGGAGGTGATCGGACGACTGCAGAAAGAGATCGCCACCACTCGTGAGAATTTAGAATTCATTTGGAAAGCCACTGCTACGGATCAGAAAAAAGTTAAGGGAGCGTTGAAAAGTGTGAAGATTCAGCATGTCTAATGTTAGGACAAATTATTTATGACGAAAATGTAAAGTAGATGATACTCTCTTCCAATGCGGCAAAAAAAAAAAAACAACAGCATATAAGTATCGTTGCAAACGCATAATGTTTATTTGGCCTAAGCAATGCGCAAAGAACAAAGCTGATTAACTTAAGAATACCTTGTCGGGACTAAGTAAAAGAAAGCTAGTCATTATTGTATACAAACTTTATAATTTGTTACATATCTCATATGTTATATTTATTGCGACAGTTGTATCGTCTCCTCTCTATTCAATAAACGGAAATAAAACATCAAGGTATCGGCTGCGATTGGTCAGTTCGGCGTTACGCCACAAATTGAAAGCAGCGTCGCTGCACTCGTCACCACACGACCGATCGCCGAGATAATGTATTCAACACGATAATGACATTCCGCGTGGCAAATATGCTCGCGCAAGTTTGCCCGTACAATGCTCGGTGGGAACAACAGATTTATCGGCAGTATCACCGCCTTTATTTAGTGCTGACATCAACCGCGGCCAAAGGTTCTGAAGGCTACCATTTGCGACAGAGTTAACATCGGGGATCGCGCGGGCTGTGACGTGAAAAATGGACGTCCTCGTATATAGGAATGATCTCACATTCCATTAATATTAACATGTAAGGCGCACACGTGAGCTCGTAATCGGTCTATCTCACCTTATGATTGTGCATTTACTCAAGCGCTTTTTTGCTAAATGCGTTTATCCCAGTATGTTTTGCACGTATAATTTGTGGATATAGTACTCACGTTCATCCTGTGATAATATGTGTACATGATCGCGCGGTAGATTTGTATCACGATACACTACTGATATGATTTAAATCTTCTGCCGACCGTTTTCGAACGTTATATCGAGTAGCGAATTTCCTCTGAATATAGACCTTTCATATCTTTTCTCGACTACTCGAGTCAAATAAAAAAATGAACCACTTCGCTTTTAAGATTTTAGTATGTGTGAAATTTTACAACTAGAGTTATGTTGGAATAAATGCAAAATTACTAATGTTTATTCCAGTGTTATTAACATTTTCGTGATCAGATATCCTGACAATTTATTTTTCTTTATCTTTCTATGTCAAGTAAACGAGAATCGTGCTCTACTTCAGTAGTAAGGTTAACCATTGCGTTAGTTGCATATTATACCATTAAATTATTTCCGAACGTTACGATCGAGCATCGAATTTCCTCTGAATTATATGTCGGTATGCGTAATCAAACCTTATAGACTTCCTCAAATTCATTTTCAAATATTGTACGACTCATTTTATTGGTTACGGAGCACCTGAAGATGAATTTAAAGTGGCCTTAAATATAAGGTCGACTATGAATACGATCAATCAATCACGATTCTTCGAATCTTTTCGCGACTACTCGAGTCAAGTAAAAAATGAACCACTTCGCTTTTAATAGTTTGGTACGTGTGAAATCTTACAACTAACATTATAATAAATTATGAAGTAAAAGTAAAATTATTAATTTTTATTCCAGTACTATAAGCATTTCTGTAGCTAAATAACTTCGTAATTAATTTTTTTATCTTTCTATGTCAATGAGAATCGTGCATTAATTCAGTGGTAAAGGCTAACCGTCGCGCCAGTTACATCGTATACCGGTTACATGCGACACGCATATTAATTCAAGAAACTAGTTCTTGCACAATGTATGCGTGACAGGCACATTTCGAATAGATCCACGGGGATAACGAATACTGCGAACTTGCTGAAACGAAACCGAGAGCGAAATGCCGAGGTTTTTGAAATCGAAAGCTAAGTACGAAACTCGTCACGTTACGGTACATTTATTGTTTTCAAGGCCTCTATGTATGTATGTATATATATGTGTGTTTGATTTTGGAGCATCTTTATAGGAGCAAAATTACGAAATTCACATCGTCTACATGTATTTGTAAGCGAACTCTCCTCCATCAATCTCCATTACCTGACATAGAGAAGTAAATAACCAGAGGAGATTGCTGTATAAATTATAATCACAGGCAAATTGCTGTCAAATTTACTGCATTATTACGACGTAACCTCGACAATTTATGCTTGATTACTCCTAACTGCTATTATCCTCGTCGTATGTATCGCGGAAAATGATTGAAATTGAGGTTGCCATCGGTACCGATGATCCTCGTAATCTGGACTTTTCCATGTGCTGTAATACAGCGACACGTGACACCGGCGGTATCAATTAAACTCTCAATTGAATATTCGCGCGGCGCGCGCGGGCGGAGCGCAAGGTGCCGCGCGCCGCTCGGCCGCTGCCGGTGCACTTCGTGCGGGTTCGGGCGAAGGCAAAATGTCGTCTGCTAGGCGCGTCGTCCGTCGTCCGTGTAACCGGGTCTCGGGCATTCGTGACGTGAAAATCGTGGCGCGATAAGGCGATAACGCGCTTTGCGCGCGCTCAGCGCTCGTCACTACTCATTGTGCTCGGATGGTTCGGTGCCGCGCGTCCAGTGACCGTATTCTCGTTATCAGCGAGTGGACGCGCGTTCGCCGGCGATAAATGCGAAAGTCGAGCGGTCGAGAAGCGCCCGTCGCGTTCGCGTCGCGCCGGTGGTAACATCGATTTTCGCTCGTTTTCCTCGTTGGCGTGCGGCCGGACAGATGACCGGCGAGTAAGACACGTCGCGGGCCCCGATGTGCCCCGTCATCGCGCGTACGCGTTCTCCGCGGAATTCCCACGTCCCGACGGCGATGTCGCGAGCGATTCCGCCTCGGTGAGCTTTGCTGCACCAGGAGGCGAGGACAACGACGACGACGACGAGCGTTGTCGCCGCCGCGTGGGACCTGCGACGGATTATTTTCAGCGTAAGCGCTTTCTGTCTCTCTCTCTCTCTATATATATGTATATCTATCTCTCCTCCGCTCTCGTTCGCTCGATCGTTTGTTCTCGCTCCCTTCTTTCGCACGTCCGTTGTCGCGACGATTCGCTCTTTTTTCTCGCCGTCTCCGCGCGTAAACTATCGCTTTGTCGCGTGGCTCTTTACCCCGCCGTATTGCCTATAGTTAGTACACGTTCCGAGAGCGTGCCGGTGTGGGAGGAAGTGCAAGAACGCCGGAAGTAAGTAGAATCCTCGTTACACTTTGCGAACGTTAGCTAGGTTAGTCGAACCGCCTCGCGCGGAGTTGCGGTGCGCGCTTGACGCGAGCGGAGTTACGCGTGACCGCGACGACGGTGTGTGTTCGCCTCACGTCGTCGTCGCCGACGACAACGAGCCAGGACGACGCTGCATCGCGTCGCGTTGCGGAACGTAGGAACGTGCGCGCGCGAGGGTTGACGCTCGCGGCAGATGTTTCACGGGTTTCTCCAAGCCCGCACGCGTTCGCTCGCCCGTTTGTTTCTAAATCCTAACGGTTACCGTTCGCGATCGACGCTTGTTTCGCGGATCGTTGTGCGAAAGTCCGTGTCGTCGGTGACGTCGTAATCGTACGTTGCGTGTGTGTTGGCTGCCGAGTACAGCGCGTAATCGTGAATATCGTTGCAAAAGTGTGCAGGTGAGCGGAAAAAGTGCGGAAGGAATTTCGTGGTGCGACGAGAACTCGGGTTTTTTTTCCTTTTCACTTCGCTCGTGTTTTCTCAGCGAGACGACGCGACCTTTTCGCTTCTTAGTCTGATTATCTCCCGATTCTGATCACGTCAAATATAGAAATAATGAAAGAGCGACGAAGCCTCAGGCGTTAGAGCAGATGTTTGACTTGTCATTGAGGTACGATTCCGAAACTATTTGGATGTTTTATTAGCTGCAATTTCTTTGACCAATTTGCGAACGATTTTAGCGAAAATGTCGAGTGAGAGACAGGTTGTTACCCATTTGTATTCATGGTCGTTTTCATATAAAACACCTTTCTAATCTTTAACATTACGTATCGTTATAATATTGATCGTCAAATTTAAAATTCAGTTGAAGCATGCAGAGTTCGCATACCCAGATGGACAGAAATGCTGAACACAGTATGTAAATATTTTAATATATGCTGTGTGATGCCATTTTGCAACTGCATATGTTTAAAATACTTATTTTAAGAAATATTCATTTATTACACCATAAATTTGATCAAAGTATTGATTTTTTATTACTGCAATAATTCCAGATTAATTGCATTCTCTTTCGGGCAAAATAAGCAGCAATATTTATGGCATCAGAATATTGCCGCAATTTTTGCTGCATCACAGTGCAAATTCAAATATGTTATTTTTACATGTGTAAATGTCTAAAGTGACACATTTGACTGAAGTTCTTTTTACATATTTCCTGCCGGTTTAGGTTACATCACTTAAAATGTTTAATCGTGTTAAATTATAAGTTAACATGTCCAATTCGTATTAAATATTGTGATTTAAAACGGTAAGAAATGCGTAAGAAAAGTCTTAGTTAAAATAACACATTTGTATTTGCAGTTCAGATAATCTTTTATATACCAGGGTTGCCCCTTGGCAAACTGAAAAGCTCAAACTGCCAGGAAAAACCTAGAAAAGCCAGAGAAAGATACAAAAAAAAAAACTGGAAATTTTAACTTGGTTTATAATTCCTTCAAATGCTCTTAATCAAATTCTTTTTTCCGATATTCATTTATTTTTGTTGGCCTGAATTTGCATTTAGGATTATATTTTGTTACTAAACTTTTAAATTTGTGTCGCTCTTCTAATAATATAAATTACTTTTCCTGTAATCCCTGCTTCCAAATGTTCAAGTTTAAGATTGGACATGTGGAACATTTTTCATTGTCGTTTGAAAAATATAGGATAAGTCATGGAATTTCAAAATTTATTTTCCGTGACAACTCTGTATACTGACAAGATATTTGTATGAGGACGCATCTTAATGTTATGCTAGTCATGATGCAGACAATATACCGAAATATGCCTATCTGGGTACCATATAAACATTGCAAGGTCCAAGTGTACAGCGAGTTTTTATCGTTCTTATAAATTTTAACTCGCTCGGATGAAAGCACCGACTGTTGCGACTAAGCGCTGCCGGTGCACCAATCGGCATTTAATTTGCGCAATCAAAGAACCTTGAATATTTGTAAGTATAACGATAGCAATGATAAATGTTCGGGAAGGTGAACGATCAAAATGAAGTAGAATGTTGTAGCGCGCGCGATCCTTCAGAATCGATGACGACTGGGCGTTGGACTTTTGTGGTTAACATCGCGAATTGCGTCTTCTTTCTCAACTATTCTCGAAATATGCGTTCCTCGCGATCCGATCGATTGACCGGTTTACGTTCGCTTCCGCCGACCTTCTCTCGAAATTTATCGTTGCCGCAACCTCCGACCCATATGCGAAACTCGAAACGAGCAGGAACGAAAAGTCGTCGAA